TCGCCAGTTCTTTCATTGCAGCTTTGACTTCTTCCTTCATTACCATTGGTTCTAGATCATATGCCACTTCCTGAAATGGATGAAGATTGATCAGTTCTTTTTGGTACAGTGACTCTGTGTATTCCTGCCATCCTCTCTTGATGTTTCCTGCATCATTCAATATTTTGCCCGTAGAATGTATAGGACAGAGCAAAACTGCCCTGTAGGCTTTCCAAGCTGTAAATCTTTATGGAAGTAGACATCACATCTTTCTTATATGAAGTGGCTGGTGGGTTGGAACCGTCAGTCTTTTGGTGAGCAGCCGAAAGTTTTAACCACTGCGCTACCAGAATTTCTTGCACTAAAGGAAGGCTAAATAAGAAGTACATCGTGTATCAGTTCCAACTTAGCTCTTGATTCAACTTAAAGATACACTTAGGAATGGATCTCCTTTGCAACCAGGGATTGCATGTATGTCATTTGCTATACATTTCTGGTTTAGAAGTGAATTTTGTCTTGATATGTAGGATCAAGAAAGCAGGAGACATAAACCTTTAGGTTTATATAAGTTACCTCAGTAATTGGAGCCCAAGGCTTTCATCAGTCCTGTTTGTACTACACATTTGGCACTTACTTTATTAATATCATTATAAGAAAATTGAGGCCCAGAGAGGAAAGTTCACACAGTCCTTGTTTGAAACTGAGACAAAAATCTCACTTTTCTGATATTTTGTCATGATAAATAAGGTTGTAGTTGTGGGTATTTTGATGTGATTTCCTACTTTATAAACTAACAGCAGAGGCAGTAATAGATGTAAAGAATTCAGCACGAAATTTCAGTTCTTAAAGCAATTGAAAATACACTTTAGTATGTTTTTGCCCTGATATGAAATAACATTTACAGTTAACATTTCTCATGCTTGATTCTGTGCCAGATAACTACTTTCCATGTATTACCTCATTAAATTTTCTTGTAACAGCCATGTGAGGGGTAGGTATTATTAGTCTCATATAGAGGGAAAAACTGAGGCTATACTATTACACTACGTAAGTGATACTATTAGATAGCAGTGCTGTTATTTAAATCCAGATCTGATTCTAAGCCAATTCTACAAACCCTTACATGCTGTCCTATGGCTTTCTTTCAGCTTAACATGTCTTTTCTGAAAAGGAAATAGAGTATAAGAAAACTCATCCACAAAGATTAATCCCTCTGTAGATCACTTTTGATAAAAAAAAAATAGTGTTTTGAATTATTAATTTCCAACAGCTGGAAAAGTTTGTAGTGATTATTTCACTCCCTCTAAAAATTTGTGAAATAAAGTCTAGTAGCATCTAGCGTTAACCTTTTATTTTATTTTTAAACAGAAACATTGTTCCCTTCATCTTGAGAGATTACAAGAATCACAAAAGGTCAATTTACAGATATCACAGGTTAGAGAGATTGTACCCTTTTTTGGATAAAGAGCATAAATCCAATGGTTCAGGCCTTATATATAAGGTTGGGATTATAACTGACTTTATTTAGATGAACTAGATGACTCAATTTTAAAACCGTCACTGTTTTTCATTACCAGTTAGTGTGTACTCAAGTTATCTTCACTTCATCCCTGATTCTCACCTTGTCTTTTATCCCTTTAGTTAGCCCAGAGATGGCAATAAGGTCCTCATTCATTCAGAAGTAAAATAGCAGTCAGGGATGGGATGAGATTTAGGAATGCAAAGATGATAGAGTTGTGTAGCAGACACATTAGTTACTAAAATGTAGTTTAAAAATACATCAAAATTTCCTACTTCATTTAGTCTTCAGTGGACAGTGTTGGTGCCTGATCTAAATTTCTTTCATCCCCTTTAGAAGTTATGTGTTTCTGTCCCACATATCCTAGTTCTCTAATGAATGAAGTGACAGCCAACAATTATTATATTTAGCCTCCTGTTCCTCTGAATAGAGGTTACTAGAAAAACTATGTATTTATGCAGTCTTAATGATTTGTTTTCTGGAATAATTTTTTACATTACTTGAAAGTTTGGTGGTAGATAGGAAAGTTCTCAGTGGAAACAGCGGGGTTTCTGCGTGGTATTCTCTCTGTTACAAAATAAAATAATTGTACAGTTAACATGAACACAAAATATAAGGAACTGGCAAAATTTATGTATCCTCTGCTTATTTTCTTAAATAGACAGTTTGCCATTTTAGAATTACCTTTTCAAAGTCTGCATTTAAGTCAATCCATTGTTTAATATGAAACAACATGGCTGGCTGTGAATTTTGCCTTTTAATACTATGATTTGTATCTTAAGAGGTTCTTAAACTAAAAGAAGATCCAGACATCTCTGTTCTTTGTTGCCCTGATAGAAAATGTGTATTGAATAAATAAATAAATATAAATATGTATAAGTATATATGGATATATAGCCCTGTTACAAGTACTTTGGAAATGCCCAGAAGTATAAAAATACGGTTGTGGTTTTCAGGGATTAATTTAAATGAAGTTGGAAAGAAGCTTGTGCTTTTTTACAGGGCAGATTTAGATATTCTCTAAACTAAATTTTTATTTTTGAATTGCTTAACATTTTTGAGAAAGTGTCACTTCTCTGGTAATCAGAGAAAATACTCTGTTACATTTTAGATGTCAGATTGATCTGATGAATTGTAGCCTAGTGTTCTCTGGGTGCTTTTGATGTGAAAGAGTATTCCTAGTACTCCAAGTAATGAGATACCTGTTTTCTGTCTTGGTTCCACAGTTGATTACTTGTGCTGAGTTTGCTTTGTGTTATTGCTTGGAATTTCTTCACAGATTAGTGGTTAAGCTTTCAGAGAATTTGGATAAATTTCTGGACTTAAGAATTTCAAGGAGCTTAATGAAAAAGTGTCAGGTGGAAACACTGAAAATTACCCCATCCTTCCATAGTTTTTTTCTTTTGAGATTTGAGGGCTTGCTTTAAATGTATACATCACATTGTAAGTAGTGACAAATGTATTTTAAAATTCCAGTTTAGAATTACCTAACGCAGTTTTGTTTTTGTTCATTTATATTTGCCCTCTTTTGACTGTGGTCTAGTTAGCTTTGTAAATATTCCATTCTGGTCATTTGTGTTTAAACTATTACACGTTGACCTTTTCATTAAAACAGAAATGACACTTCTTTATAATCAATTATAAATTCATATTTAAAATTTTACGTTGCTCTCATGTATTAACTTGATGCTTTTACAAGTATGAAAATACGTTGAAGTAGTTGGTCAAAATACCTGTTGCTCATTTTGTTAAAAATTGTTGCTGTCAATCGAGGTACCTTGAAGGATTACAGAACTGTCATAAGTTAGTTACAGAAGACAGATTTCTGGAGATTGCTTAATAAAACACACCAGATTTTGGTATGTCTACTGTTTGAATTTTAATGTAAAAGCACTTTAATAAAAATTAGTCTTTGAAGTTTTAAGCTATTGAGAATACGTCTAGATAATGTCAATAAATGTGGTTTTATTGCTGCCTGCTTTGTACAGGTTGAAAATGATTTGCCTCTTCCTAATTGTTAATATTTTTTCCCCCTTTATTTAGCTCATAGCAGAGAAATCCTCATAGCAGGGTAAGGGAAGGGTAGATTAAGGAGTTTGGGTAGTTAACCTTGCAGTTCTGCCTGTCTGAAAGAGAAGGATTAGTTGCATGTTCACAGATAATATCTAAATATATGAACATATCTTAGAGGTACTTATTAATTGAATTATATGTATTCTTAAAATACTGTAATCTAATTTATCAAATGGCTTCCCCCCCCAGTTCTGTAGAAAATGTTCTCAAAACACTCGTGAAAAGCTGCCGACCGTAAGTAGCTTCTCAATTTATAAAGACAATTGTTGTTTCTGTGGCTTTTTTTCATCTTTAATATGCTCAGAAGAGGAAATTTAAAGGTATAAAGAGTTTTTGACATTGTTAGTCACTGAACATAAGTAATTTCAAAATTCTTGAACTGAATTCTTTTGGACAGAAAGCCTTAATATGCATTGAGTTTATAAATTTTTGTTTGTTTTTATAATATAAATCAGCTATTTAATAAACCAAATATTTATTGTTTATTTACTGTGCTACTCAGTCTTAGGCAAATGTATTTTTAGGTTATAAGATCTCACCCTTTTAAGAAGATTAAGATCTAAGCTGAGTCACATGCCATCAATGAGCAGTGTCATATTGTGCTAAGCAGTTACTATCTTTGGGCTTGTGTTATCACCATGGTTATTACGTAATTCATAGAACTCCAAGTTTTCAGTTTGAATTTTTGGACTGATAGTGATTTTAATTGAGTTGGAAAATATTAGGAAGGGAAATTTATATATGAGATCCTCAAAGAGTGAAACATACTCATTTTTTTCTTTTAAATTTTAACCTATGGCACAATGACCTGGTATATAAAAACTTGGAGAACTCAACAGAGATCCTATTAGAAACTATAAAAAAAGAGAGAAGTATACATTAATTTTAATTAACAAGTACATAAAGATATATATAGGATTAATAATATATGTAATTCAATCCTAAAAGTAGATTTGAAAGGATTTCCTAACTTTTTGGGTCATATCCAAATCAGAATTTCTTATATGCTATTTGTTTTTTAAAAATCCTGTAAGTACACCATAGGCATGGGTCCACCTTGTCCATTTACCTCAGTTTATATGTGTATGTATATACCACAGGTTTTAATTTTATATATCTCTCCCGGGAACACATCTGCCTTTTTCATAGAATTGAAAGATTATTTAAAGCCCAATAGCCTCTAATCTACACGAGGACTCTGTGGACAAGTAGGTTACATGGTTTGTCCAAAGGTGCCTAGAGATTCCTGAGCTGATGCTCTCTTTTCTTACTTTACTGATTATCTATTTCTTTAATAGGCTAGATTCTGCATGATGAGATTTTTTTTTCCTATTGCTATTACATAGCACCAAACAAACAAAGACTTTGTGTGGGATTTGAGTACTTTTATATTTTATCCGAGTTTTATCAGTTTGAAAACATTTGCTATATGAGTAATTTTAAGTGTAACAGATAATTGACCTTACTCTAAATGTGACAGGTGTTTATATTAGTGTTCTAAAAATAAATTTTTTGTAGGCTGCTTAACATTTGTATTTGTAGTGTGTGGTGTATCTTGTGAAATCTATCCCCTCTCCCCCTTTTTGTCAGTCATATATTTCTGTCATAAAGTTGTTAGCCAATTACCAGATACAATGAAAACCTTCTTTTATTAGGTATTTTCCAGCAGATGCCACTGCAGAGATGCTAGAAGAATGGCGGCCTTTAATGTGTCCTTTCGATGTAACAATGCAAAAGGCCATCACTTATTTTGAAATATTTCTTCCTACCTCCCTTCCTCCAGAACTTCATCATAAAGGTTTTAAGTAAGTGTGTGTGAATATATATCTTAAGGAGTTCTAGAATATGGCAGGAAATACAGATGCACAAAGTAGTAAAGCAATAATAAACTTTAAAATGTTACAGATTTAGTTATTATATTTATTATACTTCTGTGTGAAGTATAAAACAATTAAAACAAGATTGTAAATACTTGTATGCCAAGCCAGATAAGATAGAGGTTTTAAGTTAAACAGGAAAAGAGAGAATAATGAAAACTGAAAATAATATCAGTAAATAAGCAGTAATAGAGATGTTAAAGATGTTAATTTGCATAAGTTTAGGAGAAGGAAAAGTGTTTTCCTAAAACTTGGTTTTAGCCCTCATCATATGTAGTTCTGTTTTTACATTTTTATACTCTCTGTATGTTTCATGTTCTAGTCTATCTACTCTTTTTAAGCATGTTTGTTTGTTTTTGTTTTCCTTTTTCCTGGATGATGGGAGGCATATAGTAAATCCTACAATAATAGTATAGCTCCTATCAAAATATATAGAATGTACCTTTATGGAAAAAAGGCAAAATAATAATGGTTATCTCTGTGTTGTGGGCTTATACTTAGTTTTTACCCCCCCCCCCATGTTTTCTGTAGTAAGATGGTCAATCTTTTATGATTTTTTTTTAATATATCCATGTTTATTTAATTTAAAAATTCTAAATACTTTAATGTCCTTGACATTTATAAAAATTAGTGGTATTCCAACATTTCTGCCCCTATGTTTTCTTCTGTTTCTTTAATTTAGGATAATTTCTCTATAATTTAATTGTACTTAGAACTTTGTGGCTCATTATTTCTTTTGTGGAACATTTGCCTATAGTATTAGTTAATGAGAATAATTATTGATTGGCTTATTAAAGGAAAAAGTAAGGAAGAGTTGCAAAACAAATAGTACTGGGAAAACAATAAAGGTGAAAGAGGAGTGGGGGAGATGGATAAGCTTATAAACAGGTATTAGATGGGGTAGACAATAAATATTTAACAATGAAGTAGAAATCTGATAGATAAAATTCCTTCTTTAGCATAAATAAATTGAAAGAAGAATTTTCAGACAAGAAGTACTTCTTTTCTCCATTAACTTTATAACTTTCAGTATTTTTTCTAGGTTATATAGTTATCAGTAAGAATAGTAGATTTTTTAAAAATATAAAGGATACTTGGCTTTGAATCATTTTCTAGAAATCACTTGCTATTCATAACAACATTTTTCTTCTTCAGACTTTGGCTTGATGAATTAATTGGCCTTTGGGTTTCAGTGCAAAATCTCCCACAGTGGGAGGGGGTGAGTATCTCTCTCATTCTTTTTAGTTTGGAAATAAATGTATCAGATCATTTGGTAAGTACCTTCAGTTCCTAAGATTGGTTGTTAACATTGTTGTGACCAATTCTTTTTCGTTTTATTTACTGTATTCTAATAGAAGTACACATTTCATTTATATTGATTTTGTCAATACTACCCCAAAAAAGAAAGAAAGAGAGAGAGAGAGAGAGAGAGAAAGAAGAAAGAAAGAAGGAAAGAACAAATTCACTGTCATTGAGCTGATTCCAACTCATAGTGACCCCCTCCCTTTTGGGTTTCCAAGGTGGTAAATTTTTACAGAAGTAGATTGCCCCATCTTCCTTCTGCAGACTGGCTGGTAGGTATGAACTGCCAGCCTTCTGGTTAGCAGTCAAATGCTTTAGGCACTGTATCACCAGAGCTCCTTTTATTGTCAATATCCAGAAGTATACATACGTATTATGAAATATAAGCCCTTATTTTCTTCCTTTTGTACACATCAGCTTGGTGCCGAACACTTTCTTTTGGATTAAAGTTTCTGTTTCTGTTTGTATTATAGATTTTTGGGTCGTGTCCTTTTTTTAGAAGTATTGAAAGTGCAATTGATTTTAAATAAATGATGTGGGTCTGACTTTAAATTTGGGAAGTTTTAAGAACTAAGTCATAAACCACATATTAAGCTGCATAGATTATTATTGAAAAGAACAAACAAATAAGAGCTGTAACTATGATGCTTAAAAACTGAGTCATACACATTGTGAAGAGTGTAACCAATGGCACTGATCTGTACATGTTGAAATTGTTGAACAGTTATCTATTTTGTTGTGTATCTTTTCACCAAAAAGAAAAAAATAAACTCTGAGTCATAGCAAAGCACCAAACATCAAATGTATTTATTTAACTTTTTCTCTTTTTGTTTACTTTCAGCAACTAGTCAATCTCTTTGCTCGATTGGCTACAGATAATATAGGGTACATAGATTGGGATCCATATGTACCAAAGGTAATATACCACTACTGATAGCAACTTTATGTTATTCAGGAGAAATGTGTTTTATATGCTGATTTCAAATACCACTCTAAATATTTTTTGACTGCTAGTAAAAACCTACATAAAAAAATAATTTATAGGGATGGGTCGTTTATTTATAATTTATGTATTTTTAAAATTTTTATTGTGATTTGGATGAAAGTTTACAGAGCCAATTCATTTTCCATACAGCAGTTCTTATAGGTTGTTTATTTTTAAAAAGCAATTAGGTCATATCAAGCAAGGCATCATAAATGTCAGATTACATATATGTATATACATATGTATGTATATGTATTATGTATATTGAACATGAATATAAGTTAGAGTGAGTGATTTGGAAAAGTATTGAATATATTTTTCAGTATTTTATGCATTTATACTTTGTAATAATTTTGTGTATTGTAGTTGATTGTAATTCTAGGGTAACCCCCAGTTTTCAGATCACATTATGCATTTTTGTAGAGTAAATAAAGCTAAAGCTTATCTAGGTACAAGACTTTGCCTCTTTGGTATTGTTTCACTTGCAGCAGAGTCACCTATAGTTTAGCAGGGCTGGGGTACAGCAGAAGGCAATTGCTTGTGCTGTCTTCCTCTGCTGTTAGCTGTTAAAAACTAAGCGAGGAGAGAAGTATAGGCAGACCCTAGGTTATGAACATCTGACTTACAATTTCTATTTGTCCTTTTAATGTTACAAAAATCTCCCCTCACTTTGACACAGTTGACACAGCAAATTCTTCATCATAATCACCTTCACTTGCTATATAAGCAGCTTTTAAACCTTTGAAAAGGCACTAAAGTAAGGCTAAATAGGAACTATATGCACCTGGTTTGATGTACGTACGAGTTCTTAAAGACACACTTAGGGCTGGATCACCCGGGGACTGCATGTAATTTTCCCCACCTTCAGGCCTGTCTATCTCTTAGTAATGACACTTAAAATACACATCTAATTGTGTTAAAATACAATTATTAAATGACAGATTAAGATATAAATTGTTAGTGGAAAAAGTCAAGTCATTATTAAAATTTTGAGAAGAAAATTAATGTTAGAAAGGACGTTGTTCTCAGGTTGGTGCTATTGTAGATCCTTAAGTGAGTACAGATGAACAATGGCTTTATGTGCATTTAGAGAGGCAAGAAGTAGTCAGTATTTTCATATTTATTACAGAATTTACATTGATATTTTTGTGTTTATTGAAACTGCATTTTGTATGATTTTGTTTACATGGATGCAGCTGCTTCATATCTACATGCCTAGAACCTCAGAGTGTCATAGAATTTGTGTATTTATAGATACATATATAACCAAAAAAACTAAATTCACTGCCGTCGAGTTAGATCCAACTCACAGCGACCCCTTTTTGGGTTTCCGAGGCAATATCACTATGGAAGTAGATTGCCCAACCTTCCAGTAGCTGGTGGATTTGAACTGCCAGCCTTCTGGTTAGCAGTCAAATGCCTTAGGCAGTATGTCTGAAAAATGAATGTATCTGATAACACTAATACACAGTACTAAATTATTTAAGGAAAGAGTTATTTGATACCTGTAACTGTTTATTCTTAATTCTTTTTTCATTTTTTTCCTTTTTAAAGATATTTACGAGAATTCTGAGAAGCTTGAACCTCCCAGTGGGAAGCAGTCAAGTATTAGTTCCAAGGTTTTTAACGAATGCTTATGATATAGGACATGCTGTAATATGGATTACTGCCATGATGGTTTGTAATACATTCTATTTATATTATGTAGTTCATCTGAATTTTATGTTAGCCATTAATAAAAAAATCTGTATACTAAATCCATTTTACTGACTTTGTCCCTTGATTCTTAGATGTTTTCTGATATGGTAAGCTTATGTTTACCAGATCCAGAATGTGTAATTACAAATTTCCTTACTCAAAAAACCTTAAAAACAGCCAAAATTTTAGTTATCTAACAGTTTTCGTAAATCAGGAACCAGATCCAGAGACAAGGACTTTTTATCAAATTGATGATAATAAAAGTGAGGATAGAACTCAGTGTTACATATATTTGCTCAGTAACTCAATTTCTCATTCATAGTTAATGTTCACATAAGGTATTATACTCAACACGAAGCTTATTACCAAAATAATGTTATGAATGGAGATGTATAAAGGATCCTTGTATCACCATCACTGAAGGAAAGTAAAAATATATCCACAAGTTTAGGTTTCAGTGTCGTCCGTCCAATAAGAATACTAGAACAACTTTACGCTATAATTTTTTGAATTACCATTAATATAGTGCTTTTGCAGCTGTTTCTTCTCGCATTAGTCTGTTTCATATTAGTGTGTTTTCTGTGGAAAGGCAGAATGGTGGTTAGCAAGTTTAGCTATTAAATTTAAGATAAAAGAAAGCGACAAATGTAAGTTTTTGCCATTTCATTGTTAAATGGAAGGAAAATCTCATTTTCTAATATTCAACGGGAACAAAAACATTAGCTGTTTACTACATTATATAAACTCGTTCTTTGTGCGCTCAGAATTAGATAGTGATTTGGAAAAGTGATGTGAATTAATTTTGCTGTTCTTTCCCACCCACTTGTTTTCACTGGCAGTTTCATTTTGTATTAAATGTGAAAGTGACTGTAAAATCAATGATTTTAATTATTATTTTAAAGATTTAAAAATTTTGTTGGTATTTTGCTATCTAATTTTTATGGTCTCTGAATGACTGCCCTTTCTAGATAGAGTTGCTAGATTAAGAATCATGAACATGGATTTCATGTCAGCAGGAAGACATATTCCTAATGTAACTTGACATTCTATCTTTGGTCTGTGTTGTTTCTTGAAATAAGATCGTGGTGAGACAGATACAAGGTTTCAAGGCCCAGTTGTAGTCCTTTACTCTGGGCTGTTCAACCTGATAAGCTGAAAGCTACATTTTTCCCTAGTTTTCTCCCAGGTTATGTTTTTTGTTTAATCATTTTAAATGTTTGGAAGTTTGGAAGTAACCCTGAAATATTTGAATGTAAATAGGTAAATTTGCCCTCCATTTCATGCAATAGAAAATTCTCTTGAGTCATTTAAGAGATTTTGTATGCCTAATGTTACCACTCTTGGTTATTTTTAAGATTATAATTTAGTGGCAAATTTTAGTATTCAAGTATTTTGACAACAAAACAGTAAAATACACTGCTAATCCAAGTTTAAATCTTTTTAATTTTCTAATTTGGTTTAAGTGTTAAAAAAAAAAAAAGCTCATTGGTGTCGAGTTGGATCTGACTCATAGTGACTCCTCTTTGGGTTTCCGAGGCTGTACTACTATAAAAGTAGATTGCCCAATCTTCCTTCCAAGGAGTACCTGGTGGGTTTGAACTGCCAGCCTTCTGGTTAGCAGTCAAAATGCCTTAGGTATTACCCCACCAGAACTCCTTTGGTAGATGCTCTTATTTTTAGTTGAATATTTTGAATTGATTTGGATAAATTCTATTTAGTTGATATTTGTCAGCAGGATGAATATGAACGAATTTAGAGATTCATATGTAGGCATGAGCCTGTTAACCTCCTCTGTTTTAAAGAATGTCACTGCTGATATAAATGTGTTGTTTTTTTTTTTTTTTTTTTTTAATCTGGACAGGGTGGACCAAGTAAGCTAGTGCAAAAACACCTGGCTGGTTTGTTTAACAGCATCACATCTTTTTACCATCCTTCAAATAATGGGCGCTGGCTTGTAAGTATGTTACTGACATAAAGATTCATAATTAAGTAAAGATGAAGGCTCTTACCAACTTATAATTTTTCTGTCTTTCATAAAAGTATGTATAAGTGATTAAGTTCAGAGTAAATTAATTTATTCTGAGAATATACAGAAATAAATATTAGTCTCTTAACAAAAGTGCTACAAAAGCATGTTTTCAGTTAGTGTTTGAGGGTAAGCTTTGTTTTTTTTCCTTAAGTTTCCAGGCTAAATGGCTTTTCAAATAATGGAAGATTTATGTGGTGTTAAAAACACTTATAAAGCAGAAATTTGAAACTCATTTATTTTCAGTAATTGATTGATAAAGGTGTTTTGTTGTATTGAGTTATGCTGTGCAGGTGTTTATTGTAAAATAATAAGAACTATTATTTTTAAAATCTTTCCTTGGGAGGAAGGAGCTCTGGTAGCACAATGCCTAAGGCATCTGACTGCTAACCAGGAGTTGGTGGTTCAAACCATCAGCCACTCTGTGGAAGTAAGACTGGGCAATATACTTTCGTAAAGATTTACTGCCTCAGAAACCGGTGGGGGTTGCTATAAGTTGGAATCAACTTGATGGCAGTGGGTTAGGTTTGGTTTTTTTTTTTTTTTTTGGTTCCTTGGAGGATAGAGAGGAACCGTGAATGTCTATGTGGGAAAGTAGAGCCTACCTACAACTTTTTGCTTCTTTCTCCTCAGAACAAGTTAATGAAACTACTTCAGAGGTTGCCAAACAGTGTTGTTAGAAGATTGCATCGTGAAAGATACAAGAAGCCTTCTTGGTTAACTCCAGTGCCTGATAGCCATAAGCTTACTGATCAAGATGTTACAGACTTTGTACAATGCATTATACAGCCTGTCCTCTTGGCTATGTTCAGCAAAACTGGTAGTCTAGAAGCAGCCCAGGCTCTGCAGAATCTTGCACTTATGAGACCTGAGTTGGTAATACCCCCTGTACTTGAAAGGTAAGTGTAGCTTTACATGTTTTGTTGAAGATGTAGCAATTCTATTTTTCTGTTCCCTCTGGTGCTCTGTTTTGCTTGGTTCTCTTTTTTTTCTCTGTGGCTGACAGTTTGCTATTTTAGTGCTTACTCCTGTTCTAGAGGAAAAGTGAGACATTTTAACTTCATGCTTGGTAACTTGATAAAGGTTTATGGGGGAGAAAAGAACATTGAAATGAATTGGATTATAAAATAAGTATTTTGGATTATTTGTACGATGCAGTTATCCACATTCTTTGCTTATAAATTAAGATCTAGCTGTTTGATTTTTTTATCTAAATAAAGGTATAGCTAAATAATTGAGTACATAGCTGTTGTTGTTGTTGTTATGTGCCGTCGAGTCGGCCCCAACTCATAGCGACCCCTCCTTGGGTTTCCGAGGCAGTTATCACTACGGAAGTAGGTTTGCCCAACCTTCCTTCCGAGGAGTGGCTGGTGGGTTTGAACCGCCAGCCATCTGGTTAGCAGGCAAGTGTCTTAGCCACTATGCTACCAGAGCTCCCGAGTACATAGCAGTAAATAAAAAATGATTTTTTATTTCAATTATTTCATAGTATTAAAGAAATTTTTTTTTTTCTCAGGTTTATTGTTTTCATGGTGTAAATTTTTTTGTATTCCTTTTGTTCTCTATGTTGGAACAGTAATAAAATAGTCCTTTATTTGCCTGGTCACTATCACAGTATAGACCTACTGTGCTTCTCAAAAGAGAGCTACTCAATTCTTTTTAAGTGTTCAAGAGACGGTTACTTAAGCTTTCGGTTATACATTATGAGTCTTTAATTTAACTTGCCCTGCTTCTGAACTTGAGCCTTTTGGTTTTTCTTTAAATGTATTTGTCAAAAGGTAGATACAGAATGGTAGTTTTTAGAGCCCAGAAGGATCTGGTAATTAATTTGAATTCCTTAAAGCTCAGATTTGTCCTAAGTCCTTAGAGGCAGAATTCAGAACATAGCCTATTTTCTGACTGGTTATTGAGCTCTAGTAGTACAGAGGTTAAGGCATTTGGCTGCTAACCAGAAGGTTGGCAGCTCGAACCCACCAGGCATTCCTTGGGAGAAAGATGTTAAAATATACAGCCTGGAGACCCTATAGGGCAGTTCTACTCTGTCCTAATAAGTAGGAATTGATTCAGTGACAGTGGGTTTGTTTTTTTTGGTTTATTGTGACAAGGGTAAATTCTTACTGGTCATATTTACTTGGGGAAGTATACCCTGTTAAAGACCTTGGTAAAAATTAGGCTTATTTCTCAATTACCTATAAGTTTTCAGTTGCTTATGCTGTCTTTCCCTGTCCTTATTGCCAAAAATATTCAAGTTAATTTTGATATCACATTCCCAGCCTGTGCATATCTTTAAGGCACTGAAGCTCTTCCATCACAGAGCCTAATCAGAAAATGTAGGGGGGAAGACAGTTTTTCCTTTGTATACTTTGTATACTCCTTGGTATTGATATCCATTGGTAACAGTAAATAGGAGTTGATGGCAAGTCTCATGCCAATCCCTGGCTCTCCTGTTACTCTCTTAAGGAAGCACTTCAGCTATGTGTATGTTAAAATTTTGAAATTTGGGGTATTCTGCTTTATTTCTGTGTTTTTCAACTGATTAATTGTGATTAGTGACATAAGTGTTTAGTAGAGAGTACAAAGCTCATAAATACAAATACATATTTCCATCACAGTTTTCTTTAGTCCTCATTTTTAAGACAAATTTAATATCAACATATTGATGTATGCTTGGTCAAGATAAATATTTTATTGACAAAATTGACTGACATTTTTTGAGTTTCATCTAGTTGTTATTCTGTGGTGTTCAGAAGTAGCATGACAGCTGTTTTTTTTAAAAAAAAAAAAAAACTCACTGCAGCATCAAATCTTTTCCAACTCACAGCAACTCCCATTGGGTTTCCAAGGTGGTAAATTTTTATGGAAACAGAGTCCCTTATCTTTCTTCTGTGAAGCAGTGGGTTCCAACCCCCTTTGGTTAGTAGCCAAATGCTTTAACCATTGCACCATGAGAGCTCCTTAAAAAGTAAAAAGTAGGAAAAAAAATTAAACACTTTGTTTTACATCTCCTAAAGACAGCTTCTGTTAAAGATTGGGTGAGTTTTCTCTATCTTTTAAAATAAGTATAAGCTGGTTTGTTGTTTGTTTTGTTTTGTTTATTTTAGGTATAAATCTTGCTTTTTTCCCCCAACTTACTATCTATTGAAACTGCCTTTATTATTTACCTTCTCTGTATAAGTAACATTTTAAATGACTGCATAGAGTTTAATGGTCTGCTTTTGTTTCAGTTTATGTAACCATTTTTTAATATTGTTAAACATTTAGGTTGTTTCTGTGTTTTTTTTCTTTTATTATTATAATGCTTGTACATTCATAAAACTTTTTCCTTTTAGATTTGCTAACCCCACTCCCCTATAGGCTGGAGTCTGAATGTTTTTGGTTCCTACATACTTAGTGATCAAATATTACATTTGTGAAAAGTGGAGAAATTATAACTTATTATTTCTGAAATCTAATAGTCACTGACTGTTAGATTAGATGCAGTCCCCTGAAGTGTAAAACCAGTTTGGATTTGGACAAGTATGACATGGAGTACAAGAGCTCTGGTGGCATAGTAGTTAAGACATTTGCCTACTAACCGAAAGACAAAGGTTTGAAGCCACCAGCTGCTCCACAGAAGAAGGGTGAGACAGTCTGCTTCCATAAAGATTTACAGCCTTAAAAACTCAGTGGGAGTCGATATGAGTTGTAACTTGAGTTTGTGTTTGTTTCTTTTTGTTGATATGGGGTAAGATGGCTGACATAATGCAAAATTGTTGGAATTTGCATGGAGGGGAAGTGGCAGGAGGTTAAGGAAGCATAATCTTTGTACTTTCCCCTTACTTAGGTAATTCTTTTAACTTTAACAGTAGATTTTCACTCCAGGTAGTACTCTGTTAATTATAAACCTTTAAGCTCAAATGCAGTTTATAAACATATATTTAATGTATTATGTATGTTTATCTGTGATAACCATAAATTTTAAAAAATTCTATTTTCAACTTGTAGAACATATCCAGCACTAGAGACGTTAACAGAACCTCACCAGCTCACAGCTACTTTAAGTTGTGTGATTGGCGTAGCCCGCAGTTTGGTATCTGGGGGCAAATGGTTTCCTGAAGGTCCAACACACATGCTACCTCTGTTGATGAGAGCATTGCCTGGGGTGGATCCGAATGACTTCAGTAAATGCATGGTGAGCTTATTTGTGGTTCTCATATGTTTAAGTTATAATTGTGTAATAGTCATCTTTTACATTTTCAAATACATTATTTTACACAAATGTATATGATGCTGTATGTTCTTTTTGCAAATCGCATAACCCCATCATGCATCGGTTTCCTATGTGTTATGGTACTCTTTAGAACATAGCTGCAAAACCTGTTAATGGTCACAGAAAAGTATCTATAGATAAGTAAGTTTAGATCTCTGGGCACTTGATTTATGTAATATCTTTCCTACCAAGAAATTTGCCATAATATGTATGCATTTAACAATCATGTGATGCACTAAAGCTCATTACATATTTGCTATCTTTCTTAAGGAGAGGTGTTAAAAATCCTAGCATGTGATCACTTGGCTCTCCCCTCATTACACTGGTGGGCAGGGAGCATGATGAAAGTTAGCATTTAAAATAAAATCCCAGAGCCTGCTTAGAAACTCATTTTCTCTTGGTTTACAGTTTTGCTCATCTTTTTCTTCCCACTTTTCTAGTTTCTACATTGGCATTTTTATTTACCTTTAAATAATGTTATATTTTCAGGTGGGGAGCAAAGTCATTTCTCACTGACAGAAGATTAGAGAATGTTGTGCTTAGAACCTTCAATAAGAAAGGCTTTAGTAGAAAAAAAATTTAAAGCTAGTAATGGAAAATAAATTTAATATAACTTCATTACTAAAGCAGCAGCTAGTTGATTGTTAAAAACTTTAAGATGTCCAATTCTTAGTGGAAGTTTTCAGAATGATTATTAATAGGATTTCCCTTAAAATAATTTGATTACTTTATTGTAGCATATAGTATACTTACTATTCTTGTATTTTTGAATTAGAATTATATAATAAATATTGACAATGCTGTCTTTTTTCGCAGATCACATTCCAGTTTATAGCAACATTTTCCACTCTGGTGCCTTTAGTAGATTGTTCATCTGTACTACAAGAAAGAAATGACCTCACAGAAGTAAGGATGCTTTCTGGTTGTAAAAGAGTTAACTGAGTTCTAATTCCTATTTTGTTTGCAAAGTGATATCTGGTAGTGTAAAAACAACTCTGTACTAATTAAGTAAAATTACAATTTTGTCACTAGAATTGTGTGAATGTAGGGCCAGGCCAACAATGGTAAAATGGTCTACAAAGTACCTACTATAGAAGAGCAGTCAAAAATAGGTCATTTATGAACAACTGACATCTGGAGGTATATTTCAGTTTTCCGACACTTTATGTTCGAAGGAGCTCTAGTGGCCAAATACTCCATGGGAGAAAAACAAGTCAGTCTGCTTCCATAAAGATTTACAGCCTTGGAAATCCTGTGGGCCAGTTCTACTGTTCTGCAGGGACTGTATGAGTCAGAATCAGTTCAGTGGCAGTGGGTTTGGTTTGGTTTTTGGTTTAGTGATGAAGCAGAAGTGGTGGCAGTTCATTTTTCCATATTCTTGTGTTAGAAATGAATCTGTCCTGGGGTTGACATTAGATGAAAAGAGATTTTATTCAGTACTTTTTGAACTATTTTCTTTATAACAAGCATGTTCAGATAATGAGAGATTACCCTGTACAAATATATCAGCAATTTGAAAACTGTAGTTGATCATAAAGATGACTGCTTGACTTCTGTTTTGGTCCCTGTAAAACATGATAATTAGATTTTATTATGGTTCCTGGTAAGTGCTAGTCACAATTTTTCTAAATTGAATATGTGATTGTGGTATTATTTCCCAAAGTACCTAATATAGTAATTTAATGTTAGATTTATTTTGTAGATCATAATTGATTTTTGATAGTTCAAAGAAAATAAGTCAAAATTTATTTGTAATTTTTTTCTGATTTGGATGTTACAGGTAGAACGAGAGCTTTGTTCAGCCACAGCTGAGTTTGAGGATTTTGTCTTACAATTTATGGACAGGTGAGCTTGTAGCCCAAACCTGCCCTTTATCTGACATTGAAAAACATACCTAATCTGTCCCAGCAACCTTCGTTGTTTAACTTTTAGTTAGCTATCACCTGATTATGATGCTTCTAAAGTTATGCATAGGGCCTAAGGCTTTTGACTGCTAACCAGAAGGCTGGTGGTTCAAACCCCCCAGCCACTCCTCTGAAGGAAGATAGGGCAATCTACTTCTGTGGTGATACTGCCTCTGAAACCCAAGGAGGGGTCGCTGAGTTGGGTCCGACTTGGGTCCGACTTGATGGCACATAACAACAACAACAAAGTTATGGTATGATTGGAAAGGTCTCTATTGTCATGAATATTCAGTGGTAGCTACTTAATTTATATATGACAGTATAATCTGTCTAATCACCATCAAAATCACCTTTTCTAATCACCATCAAAAAAGTGTTAACCCTTTCTCAGTTGCTAAGCATTGTACTTTGTTTGGTTATTTAGATGCTTTGGACTTATAGAAAATAGCACATTGGAGCAAACAAGGGAAGAGACAGAAACTGAGAAAATGACTCATTTGGAGAGTTTGGTTGAATTAGGTCTGTCTTCTACGTTTAGTACAATCCTCACACAGTGTTCCAAAGAAATATTTATGGTAAGATTGCTGCAATAAATTAAATTCAAATTTTGTAGTTTTATTTGATATTTTAAAGTTTGTATATCATAACAGTTTACCCTTTCTATTTATAGAATTGGAGCTCTGGTAGCATAGTGCCTAAGGCACTTGACTGCTAACCAGAAGACTGGTGGTTCAAACCCACCAGCCACTCCTCGGAAGAAAGATGGGGCAATCTACTTCCGTAATGATACTGCCTTGGAAACCCAAAAAAGGGTCACTATGAGTCGGGTCCGACTCGACGGCACATAACAACAACAACAACAACATTTATAGAATAGTTTGTAAAGGATGTATTTTAAAAATAAACAATTAAATATAATTATTTGGGTGAGAAATTTTAGAAATTGTTTATGCTATTGCCTGATAAAAATTAAATCTTAAATATAGCAATCAGCAAACTATGATGGATTATAAATATTTGTCCTGATAAAGCATTCTGGAAACAGTTATTTGATATTGGTAATTTCTGTACAGTATAGTTTTTAAGATCATAATTTTTTCCATTTTTGTGTCTTTTCCCTTCATCTGAGATTGTCTCTGTTTAATATAATATGTTTATTGTGGTTAAAAGCTAAACTGTTTTCTTAAAGAGTTTTCTGTTTTCTTAAAGAGTTAATTTTACAGTATATGAAATTTATAATTATATTAATATGAAGAAATGAACCTAAATAATCTCTTAACAGAAATCTTTTGAAAAGAATTATTTATAATGCTTACTATTGTTGTCCCAGGTCGAGAAATCATTCCACAATTAAGTAAAATTGTATGACATGATAGAGTTTAAATAGGATACTTCAGGCCTTTTAGGGTAGGTATGGCACATTGGTTAAGCACTAGGCTGCTAACCAACCATCTATTCGAACCCACTGCAGCTCTGTGGGAGAAAGTCTACTTCAGGAAAGATTACAGCCCTGCAAACCCTATGGGGCAGTTCTACTCTGTACTATAGAATAGCTGTGAGTTGGAACATACTTGATGGCATGGGATGGATGTGTGTACTATAGTTGTCAGAATGACAAACTGTAAACATCAGACATGCCCTCAAAATCCCCATATTATTAGATTGGCTTAACCAAAAACATACTAATGACCTTTGCTTCCACCAGCTGTAATTTTGTATGAAGTTGTTTCTGTGGCAAATTAATGTTTTGCTCAAGTTAGGATCTTGTGTAGATAGCTTTTAGACTTGAATCTAACATTATTAAGCAAATTTTTATAAAATTAGATGGTTAAGAATAACTTTTGGTTATTTTTGGCTTAGTCTGCATGTATTTACCATTTTGCTTTTTCTTCCACAAGATATTTAATTTTCTAAAAACTGCTGATTGAAGTATTTTCATTTCTTATATATCTTCATAGGTGGCCCTTCAGAAAGTTTTTAATTTTTCTATTTCACATATATTTGAGACGAGAGTAGCAGGCCGCATGGTGGCAGACATGTGCCGTGCTGCTGTAAAGGTGAGCTTGTGGTTTTGGACTTGTGAATTAATAAACTGACAACTAAAACCTTTATATGATTAATTTTTTCGGAAGTGCTTGTTACACCTAAACAAGTAGTTCTTTCAGTAGCTCCTCATAGGATTTATTTGCCACTGAAAATAGAGCTAGTTGTGTATGTTGTGACTCTTAAATATTTATGCCTTTTAAAAATTGCTTATCTATACAAATATGTTTTCAGTGCTGCCCAGAGGAATCTTTGAAGTTATTTGTCCCCCACTGCTGCAGTGTTATAACTCAGCTTACAACGAGTAAGTCATAAGGGTATTACCTTGTCTTTATAATTTTAGAATTCTTTGATGAAAATAGGTCCTTTAAGCTATGCAGTATTAAGTTTTGCAGTTTGGGTAAATCACACACACACCAAAAAAAGTCTCACCCATGTTGGCAGATAGCTTAGAAATTTTACTTTATTAAATTAGTATTTTTGAACCTATAAGAATCATTTTGAGTTTGCCTTGAAAAATTATCAGTTCCTTTGTGATATGTGGAGTGGCAGAAGTTCTGGTGGGTTTGTTCATTTTCTTTAAAATTGAGTTCCTACCTCTTCTAGAGTTGAGTTCAGCTTCATGAAAACTAGCTATATAATAACTATAAAACCAGTTGTCATTGAATTCATTCCAACCAAGGGCAGCCCAGTGTGTGTCAGAACAGAAATGTCCTCCAGAGGGTTTTCAGTGGCTGATATTTTTTATGTAATTGGTTGTGTGCATAATTGTTTTTCCGGTTACTGTTATGCCATTTCAGATGATGATGTATTGAACGAAGAAGAACTAGATAAGGAGTTACTATGGAATCTTCAACTTTTGTCTGAGGTATTATAAATTTTTGGAATGAAAAACTGTTTTATTTGAAAATGTTGACTTACTTTCAGAATTTATCCTTTTTCTGACACACTGACTTTAACACGTATGAAAAGCCATAACAAGTTTTAGGAGATTCTGAAACGACTGCAGAAAATTAGAATATCTCATACTGTTATCAGAGAAATGTGGTGATTATATAGTTATTTCATGTTCAGTCTACTTGACTGAGGTTTTTTTTTTTGACTGAGTTTTTACTGCTTAATTCTAAAACGGATGACTCATTTTTAAATAAGTTTATCAGATTTGGGGGTTCATTTTTGTTGTCTGCATTCTAAGTTTTGCCATCTAACTTCATATTCTTTTATGATTATTTCAGGAACCAGAGAACAGAAAAATGCGTATAAATAAGTTTTCTCTTTAAGGAGGCATAGGTTCTTTTGAAAGGCGTCAGTGACTGTGGAATATGAGAAGCTAAATTCAGGAAATATATTTTGATTTTAAAAATCAACAAATTCTTAGAACATAGTAAAAATGACAATCCTAAAATAAATTAAAGTCATTTTAAGAAACACTTAACCATTTTAGGCTATGTTAGCCACAGAACATTGGACTTTACATTATTTAATGATTCTTGATCATTTAACCAAAATATCTTGAACTGTTTTCTTCCTCTTTTCTAGATTACTCGAGTGGATGGGAAGAAGTTGCTTTCTTATAGGGAGCAGCTTATAAAGATTCTCCAAAGAACCCTACATTTAACCTGTAAACAGGGTTATACTCTGTCTTGTAACCTTTTACATCATCTTCTTCGTTCTACTACACTTATCTACCCTACAGAGTACTGCAGTGTGCCAGGTGGCTTTGACAAGCCTCTTTCGGAATACTTTCCTATCAAGGCAAGCATTTTCAATCATAGAGGATTACAGAATATGTTGGGTTCTTTTTCTATGGGATTTGAAGTGTGGATTTTTTTTCATCTTGTGTATAAAAATGTCAGTTCTTTATTTTGAAGATTGTTTATTAAAACTGTGATTTGTAAACTTGGAAATGTAGACCATAGTACTGCTGCATTTTTCCTGAAGTATAAACCTTAGTTTTCTGTTTGCATATGAAATGATTTGATATTCCATACCTAATTCATAGCGACCCTTCCTTGGTTTCCGAGGCAGTATCACTATGGAAGTAGATTGCCCAGCCTTCCTTCCAAGAAACCTCCATAGTTACATGTATTTAATAATCCTCATTTGTATATTCTGTACTGGGAATTTACTTACTCACTAAAATTTATTTGTAAGTCCAAGAAGATGAATACACAGGGTGCACTTGCAGTCGTTCTTGGACATGCACAGAGTGTTGAATAATTTAAGTTACCTGGCACACCAGGTTCCCACCTGAGCTTGAACAAGGCATTGCCCTGCCTTCTTATTTTAGCTCTCATTCTATGAGCAAGTATCCTTTCTGTGGTCTATTTAGTGACACTGTTTTCCATTTTTGTGCTTTTTGTTGATGCTTTTATAGTTTAAAATGACTCCCGGGTATAGTTTTGAAGCACAGTCTAGTGTTTCTAAGCACAAGAAGGTTGTGATGTGCTATGCAGAGAAAATATATGTGCAAGATGAGCTTTGGTTAGGCATGAGTTTTATAGAGTTCATTGTTAAAGAATCATCATCAGTAGGATACATCCAGAAAGGAAAGGGAAAATCACCAATCTGTATGTGAGGTTGCTTCAGAAAATATTGAAGTGGCCATCTGTAGTGCATGGTGAAGCTTTGGAAAAGCTGATAAATTTGTGGACTCATGAGATAATGACGAATCCACAAGTATAGTGGACAGTATTATTGTGAGACTGGAAGCCAAAGAAATTTGCAGTTTTGTTATATTTTACTATAAACAAAAAAGGCATGTAATGAAATAATTTTCTAGAAATACGTATAAAATTTCTTTTAAAAGAAATGCATATAAAACAGGGTTATGTATTGACTGGTTGTATGCAGTGACTTTATAGAACATGACTACCATAAATAAAGAGAATCAACTAATGTTAAACTAAATCTCCTCACATCACTTTACTGTCACTGTTAGAGTAAACTCACAATTGAGTGAGTTCCAGGACACTTCAGGAGTGAAAATGAAGGGATGTTTTTATTACTTATTATTTGCTGACTTAGGTTTGTAGTATTTACATATTTCCAATTTTTAAACTTCTCAACTTGCCTTTCTTTTCTAGGACTGGGGTAAACCAGGGGACCTATGGAATCTGGGGATCCAGTGGCATGTTCCTTCTTCAGAAGAAGTGGCTTTTGCCTTCTATCTGTTGGACTCCTTTCTTCAGCCTGAACTCATCAAACTTGAGCATTGTGGAAATGGAGAACTCGAAATGTCTAGGTTACTGTTCTTTTGTAATAATTAGCAGACTAAAATAATACTTTGTACCTTTTCCCTAAATTTATGGCATATGTGATGGATTGATTTTTTAAATTATGTTTTGAATGCATACCATAAATGTACTTAGAAAGCTTCTTAATATAATGTGTAACAGGGAATTTGTCATGGTATTTAAACATTTAAAATAGGAAAATTGAGTTACTTTCAAATTTGTTTTTAGTCCCTTCTACTTACCAGTTTTAAGAGCTCTGGTGGCACAGTGATTAAAACATCTGGCTGCTAATCAAAAGGTCGATGGTTCAAATGTACCAGGCATTCTGTGGGGAAAATATGAGCCATTCTGCTTCTGTAGATATTTATAGCCTTGGAAATCCAAGGTCAGTTCTAGTCTGTCCCGTAGGTCTTTTGTGAATTAGAATCAACTCAGGGGCAGTGAGTTTGGTCTTTTTTCTTTTCTTTCTTTTTTTTTTTTAAAGCTTAGCAGTTTTACTTATCTATCTTTTGGGAAATGTATCAGTTTACTCTAGTACTCTTTGAAATAAAAATGCCTGTTTTACTAGACCCACTTTAGTAATTTCTTTTTAGTAATTCATAATATTGCCATTAATGTTACTTAGAGAAATATCTCTTTGAGATTATATTTTTTCTCTCTCCTATGGGGCTTCAACAAGGAAGTTTTTTGAGGCTATTAGACTTTCATAGTTTGAATCTTTGAAGGTTCCTAAATACTATATAGTGTCTTTAATAAGCAGATTCAGTAGGAATGGCCTTGAAGGAGGAAGTCTGATCATCCATTGTGGACTTTGTAGCACTCAACTGCTTTTTTGATAGTGAAGTTTTACTAGGTCTTTTTTTAAATGATGGAATAAGCTGAAAGACCCTCTTCAGTACTATTTTCCCTTTGTTTAAATAGTGATGTTCTTTGGTAGAGAGTCTGCTAAATTCATAATTGCCTCATAAACCAAACCAAACCAAACCCACTGCCGTCGAGTCGGTTAGGACTCATAGCAGCCCCTCCTTGGGTTTCTGAGCCAGTATCTCTATGGAAATAGATTTCTCAGTTTTCCTGCTAAGGAGTGTCTGGTGGGTGTGAAGTACCAGACTTCTGGATAACAGTCAAATACCTTCGGCGCTATGCCACCAGAGCTCCTAAAGGGCAATGAGTTATTGTTAATTATGATTACTTATCCAGAGCCTGTTTAAATGTAAGCAGGTCTAGATATAGAAGCCCTGGTGACACAGTGGTTAAGCCTTTGGAGGCTAACCAAAAGCAGCAGTTCAAACCCATCAGCCACTCCACAAGAGAAATGTGGCAAACTGTATCCATAAAGATTTACAGCCTTAGAAACCTTATGGGGCAATTCTTCTCTGTCTTTTAGGGTCACTGTGAGTCATAGTTGACTCCCTTGGCTGTGGGTTTGGTTTTGTTTTTTTAGTATTACCAATAAATAGGAGTTCTGGTGGCATAGTCCCTAAGGCTTTTAACTGCTAACCAGAAAGCTGGCAGTTCAAACCCACCAGCCACTCTGTGGAAGGAAGGTTGGCCAATCGACTTCTGTAGTGATATTGTCTTGGAAACCCAAGGAGTGGTCACTATGAGTTGGATCTGACTCGATGGCAATTAGTTTTATCTATTTAATTACCCTGTGCTATTTATTAAGTAGATAATTGAAGGCATTTCCCATTTCTTTGACTTATTTTGTATATCCCCACTTGATGTAAGTTTTTGTACTTCAGCCTAGATCTAGGAGACTTGTTAAATAACTATTAGGAGACTTCTAAAATATGAAAATACGTTTTGTCATTTCTAGAGATGATGTTCTACAGAGCCTGACTATAGTGCACAACTGTTTAATTGGCTCAGGAAACCTCCTACCTCCGTTGAAAGGAGAGCCAGTTACTCACTTGTAAGTAAAAATAACTGCTTTACATATTTTGCTTTTATGCCATGTGGCATATATATTAAGTCTTAGTCACTAAATGAATCACTGATACTGTTGCTTTTTTTTTTTTTTTTTTTTTAATCACTTTAAAATTTTTATTTGTTGTTAGTAGGCCAAAAAAATGTGAGGCACAACTTAGGTCTAAAAGCTTTTTAAAGGCTTTATTAAAATTTTCATATGCTAAAAGGACAGAGTAACTTAAATGTTAAATCAATTTTAAAATGTCAATTTAGAAACATTAAATTTCTTTGTTAAATTACTGAGCTAATTATGATAAATACTCTTTTTAAAAAAATTTAAAAATTACTTTTGTCTGCAATCACTACATTATTAGGAGCTCTGGTAGCATATGCCTAAGGCAGTTGACTGCTAACCAGAAGGCTGGCGGTTCAAACCCACCAGCCACTCCTCGGAAGGAAGGTTGGGCAATCTACTTCAGTACTGATACTGCCTCGGAAACCCAAGGAGCAGTTGATATGAGTCGGGCCCAACTCGACGGCACATAACAACAATAACAACAACAACAATCACTGTTGATTTAGGATTTTATAATTAGAGATTTTTTAAAGTAAAAATTTGTTCAGTGTTATTTATTAGGATTTTGAACTTTTTTAGATTTACTGAGTTGCTCTAGGATTTTAAATTCTTTTTAGAGTCTTATTTTGAATGAATATCTTGATTTAATACATTTCTAGTGCTACAATTTATGCAGAACAGTCATTGAAATGAAATGAGCAGTATTTAGTAAGTACAGATAGATACTAGTTTCTATATCATCTTAGATTGTTTTCTTTTAACATCAACATCTCATTGCTGGGCAAGTTAATGAAAATCATACCAAAATGTGTATTCCCCCTTTTGGGCCCCCTCAAAAAATACAAAGGTGGAATTATTTGCTGATTTTGCAGAAAATCTTAAAAAGCTTCAAGGAATGGTTTTAAAATGTGGCTTTTGCGTGTTTCTCTATTTCCCATCATTGTTCTAAGTTGTATTTTTCTGGAATTCTACTTAGTTCATTTTAAAAACTGTTTATAAGCATTGATTGCTTATTAGATTTAAGAGTGGGAAAGTAGGATCATTTCAGATAAGGAAATTTGTTTGAAGTTTGCTGAGGAGTTTCCTAAGTTCCTTTTAATGAAGTTTTATCTGTAATTGAATTTTGCTTAAAGATGTTGACAATGAGAATTTCTAGTCAGTTAAATCCAAGAGTTTATCTAATAACAAAAGAATGTATCTTCCATGTGTATAAATTAGAATCTTTTTAAGTATTGAATGATCATTATAGTTCATTGCTGAAGGGTTAAGGAAGAAGGCTTGGGTGTTTTCCTTGCAGTTTTTATTAGAGTGCATCCACATTTATGCCACAAGTACTATATTAGTGAATTGAAACAAAGTCCTTATTCTTTAAAATAAATGTGCACAGGAGTAAAAAGTTACACATATTTGATTAGATCAAGTCAATTACACTTTAATATCATAGAATACATTTTCAATAAGGAAAAGAATATCATATTATGAGAATTTTATGAATATCATAGCAACAGCAACATAAAATATAAATAGGTAGATTGTTAGACTACAATTCTGTTAATTAAAAGCTGTAAAATTAACCTGAATATCCTTTGTACAATCTTACTAGAAAGTTGGAAAAGACATTAATTTTAGACTGAATAGTTTTGTGCTTTAGGTAGATTTTTTAGTTTTAGAGTGAAAATTTAATAATAAAACATAATGAAATTACATAAAATATATGATTTAATATATAGATTATATAAAAGTATATGATGCTTATATATTTGAATCTTCTAAAATATAAGTATATGATAATGTATTTGATAATTTATTAAAATAAAACATGAAAACTTGAATTATTTTAAATACTGTACATACACATTTTTTAGAGTTCTTGATAGTTTCTTACATATGTGCAAGATAACAATGATATAAAGTAAAATATGATGAATAAGCAGCCCATAGCCTTTCAGTTGTCAAAACTAGGAATTTATAAAGTCTCCCTATGGCTTTTCATTAGTTAAAAGAATCCTTCCCTTGAAAACCAATGAGTTTGTGGTATCATCTTTACCTGAAATTTTAATTTATTTTGGAAAATTTTGACTTTTTACATTTAATTTGTGCATATAATTTTTTTGGCAGATGATAAATTAGTTCTTAAGAAATGTGAAATAAAAGTTATTATCTTTTACATTTATAAAATGGTTATTTTAATGTAAATCGATGTTTGTTAAACTCTTCTAAATCTAAATTAATTTGAAGAAATTAGTATCAAATGATGGCTCCATCTTCTGTGATATTAAAGATGTGAACTTGCCTACTTGTTTTTAGGGTGATTCAGGAAAGTATCTATAATATCTATCTGTATATGAACTTTTTATATGACTGCTAACCAGAGGCTGGTGTTTCAAACCCACCAGCCACTGCCTGGAAGGAAGGTTGGGCAATCTACTTCCATAGTGATACCACCTCAGAAACCCAAGGAGGGGTCACTATGAGTCCACTTCACGGCACATAACAACAGCAACAACAACTGACATGAAAAGCGTATCTGTAGCTTAGTGCCCTGAGATTATTATCAGGTCAATTTGAAACTAGAACAGGAAAAGAAAACTCTTTTCTTAGGACCTTAGTTTTAGTTACTCCATAGGAAAGAGAGTAAAATGTAGTAGATACAAAGGCCTGGAAATCTGCTTCCTAAAGATCACTGTGGTTGAAAACCTTACGGAGCACAGTTCTACTGGGACACACATAAGTTGCCATAAGTGGAATTCACTCCATGGCAATTGGTTTGGCTTTACCTTTTTAAACTTGTAAGAGAGAAAAGGAAACATCATTGTAATGAATGCTTTTTAGTGTGATGCCTCATATGCCTAAAGAAATCTCTCATTAATAATACTCATTGGTGTTATTATGGGGACATTATAAATTTTCTGAAATAAATACCTAGACCAGTTTTTGGAAGCACAAAGTGACTTAAGCTTATCTTTTTTAAATTTAAATTTATATTAATACACATTCTAATTAAGTAAAATATTTTTAGACGGTATAATTTTTTTGTTTGATTACTCATATTAAGTTTGCCTTTTGCCCGTTTTAATAGTAGTATTTGTCTCCTGGAAAATTTCTGTGATGAGAAACTAGAAACTTAATTTATTTCTGAGTTTTCCTATAAGAAAATCTTATTTTCTAATAGAGTATATTAGGTCCTAAATTTTCATTGTTCAGAGAAGAGTTGCCAAATGTGAAAAACAGTTTTCTGTGCTATTTTATTAGAGACTGACAAAAAGTAGAAAGCTCAGCTGAGTTGTTTTTCCTAAATATAAAAGCAGATCATATACTGAATGGTATATCCCATTGTGGTTTTTTGTCTTTAGACATCAGGGTTACTAGAATGGGTATCTTACACTTCCTATAAATTGTACTATTTCAAAGGATGTATAAAATGAGGTCCTGGGGGTAATTAAGGGTAAATATTTTTTAGTTTAGCCAAAAGCAAAGCATTAACAATTTTGGCACATGCTGTAGTTTGCTGAATTAATCTTATAGTAAGTTAAAATGGAACCTTGCTGTTTGCTCTAGAAACCTCTTGTTAATGGTATAAGAAATATGGTGGTTTAGTTTATTCTCATTTCTGCCTTTATAGATGTGGAAGTTGGATTGTGTCTTTCTAGGCTCACACAGGAATTTTGGACACTTGCCTTTAATTCTGAAATTGCATTAATTTCTCCTTTTGCAGTTTGCTTAATACAATCTTGTAAGTTTAACCAGCTGTTAAAGAATACAAAAAACTAACATCTTAAAAAAACAAAACAAACAAAACAGGGTTACTCAAGGTAGAGGAGTTATCATTTTCATCTCAAAATATTTCTTTTTTACTTTGTGCCCCTTTCCTCTGATAGATATATTAAATCACTCTTAGTTAAATCATTCTTAGGATCTGTTTTAATTAACTTTTCACTCAAAAAAATCCATACTTAAGGTCTAAGAGAGAGACCATTTCATTGATATGTGAAAGGATGTATTGCTATGCGATGAGGGGCAGGGCTAGCTAACCTCTCTTGGCACCTCCAGGAAACTTCCCAGCTCTGCTGGGGGAGCTGCACACAGAAAAGGAAACGGTTACTACTCCACGGTGAGTAACCCTGTTTTCTCCTTATTTCACCTTCCACTGTTTTCTTTGATATTTAAAAGCTTGTGTGTCAGACATAGAAGTAATTCTTGTGCTCAGAGTTATTTTTCAGTCTAGCAGTATGTAAGATTTCTCTAAGCAACTCTTTATACACGTGGTAGAGTAAGAGCCAGCTTTTCATTTGTGTTTACCATTACTGTTGATGCCTAGGATTGAGTTGGATAATAGAACTCAGAAGTAGACCAATTGTTTCTTGTGAAAGGCTTATAACCATGAAGGTGGAAAATAAACAAAAAAGTCACTGGTGTCTTGGATTTATGGTTTTTAATTGGAAGGGGAGGGATCATTGGGAAGCGTTGTATGTTTTTCACTATACATGGGTAGAATTTTGTATTGTTTGCAGATGTTCATGACAATTCACCTGCCTTTGTTTGCATATTACTTTGTAGCACATATTTTGTTTTTATGTTATTAGTTATATTTCTCTTCTCCACCATCCTTTCCCATCAGTGATTCTTCTCACAACTTCTCATCCAATCAAATCTAAAAAAGATTGCTTCTAGTGGTACAAGTAACATAGTTTGTACTTTTCTTTTAATGGCACAAATGGAGTCCCTGGGTGGCACAAAGGTTAAGCACTCCACTACTAGCTGAAAGGTGGGCAGTTCAAACATACTCAAGGGCCCCTTGGAGGACAGGCCTGGTGATCAGCTGCCTGAAGGTCACAACCTTGAAAGCCCCATGGAGCAGCTCTGCTCTGCACACATGGAGTGGCCAGGAGTCGGAATGTACTTGACAACAACAACATTGTAAATTAGTTTGGCCTGGTGTTTTCTAGGTACTATGAGGCTGATTACGTTATTGTATGCATGGTATTAATTATAATATGTTGTATTGGAATCATTTTTCAGAGTTTTATTTCGTTCCTGAGGTCAAATGATACTATTTGTAGACAGGACCAGTGAAAGAGTAAGAGTGAATTTTATAGGAATGATATTAGATTTAAATTACAGATATGGCTATTATAGCTTAATTAATAACACCTTAAGTCCATTCAACTGAGATTATATACATAGCTAATAATCACTTTTAAATATCCAAGGATAGCCTGGGCACACATAGAGCTTATAATATAGTCAAAGAGATATAATCATAAAGTCTTATTTGGATAGTAGAGAATTCTTTTGGAAAATTATTCTAAACATCACATGAAATATTTACTGTAAGTGTTTATTTACACTTGCTGAGAAAGATCTAGTATCAAACACGTATTCAATAGTTTAATTTATGGTAAATAAGAGATCAGAGTAAAAATTAGTCTTGGGTAAATAAAAACATTTAAAGGATGTGTTGTGGATTTGAAGAAATAAATTAAAGCTGAAATATGTATCTCACCATATACTTTAGTGCTTTGGAAGATGTATTTTTTAATTCGTGTTTTTAAAATAGGAAGACACTTTCATTTAAACATACTACATAATAATTTTAAATCCTGTGCAGTTAGTGGGCACTCTGGTGGCATAGTGCCTAAGGCATTTGACTGGTAACCAAAAGACTGGTGGTTCAAATCTACCAGCCACTCCTGGGAAGGAAGGATGGGCAATCTACTTCGGTGGAGATACCACCTCTGCAACCCAAGGAGGAGTCACTGTGAGTCAAATCGACTCGATGGCAGTGGTTTTTTTTTTTTTTTTTAATACAAGTTAGCATTTTTTTAAAAAAAATAGTTATAATAAGTGATGATATTTCTTAAATTTTCTGATAGAAATGCAATTTGTATTGTCACATGAATGTAAAAAATTAGCTTCAGGACTCTCAGATGAAACTCATTTTCAAACGTGGTTACTGTAAGACTAGAGACTTACTAGAGCCAGAAATATACACAGCAAAAACATTTCAGATCCCCAACTGATAGTGTTTTTTGTTTGATAGTTTTATGTTTTTGTTGTAGAAACTAGTTTACTACATAGATTGCTGTTTTTCTGTTGTTTGTAAGGAAGTGACAGTAATTAAAAGTCATTTGTGATTCAACATTATATGATAACTAGGTTATGAACTGACTAATGTACAATTATATTCCTACTTTAGAAAACTGCCAATAAGACCAGGCTGGGAACATGTGCTGTCATGTGACAATTCATGACAAATATTTCCCCAAAGGAGTAACAATCATAAGCTTGATAGCGTTTGAGCTTGGGCTTTTTTTCTTTAGTAGTGAAATTTAATGTTAATAAAGATATATGACTTCCCTTGAAGTTTATAAAGGAATCTGATCTTATTTTTACTTACTAGATTCTGGATAAATGACATATTTTTCAATCATAATACAGTTTTCAAATGTGCAAGGTATTGCTGAAGGTTGGCACTTCATGTAATAAAAGCCATATTATTTAAGAGGAATTCAAAGTTAGAACTTCAAAGTCTCTGAAGCAGCAAATTAGCATTATATACAATAAAACCTGCAAAAGCCAGAACCTGCATAAAGCAAAAACCTATCAGAGAAGGAAAAATCAAATATTTTCCGTTTATTAGAGAGCAATAGAAAAGTAGGAAGATCGCACCTGTCAAAGATGGAAAACTTAGGAGACCCAGAAAAGCAAGGCAGTCCTGTAGAGTTCCAACTCTCACAGGTTTCATTGTACTGTAAAACTTTCCTAAGAAGAGTTTTGAAGTAAATTAGTGTTTATACTCTGTAAGCTTGGTTTTGAAGCGTGAGACAATAATATTATTGCTATCATAAGCATTGGAATATAGTTGGGAACATAGTTAAATCATTGGTATTTTAGTAACCATAATGTTATTGCTGATTGTTTAGATAAATCTCAGAATCCATAACTATCAAATATTAAGGCAGGAATAACCCATTTATTTCAACCATTTAAAAAAACAATAGGTAACTCAGGGAGGATACTGGTTTAAAATAATACTTCATTACAAGCATTATGCAGTTCATGAGTGATGAGTAATAATAATAAAATTTCCATTTTTATTATTGTTTGTTATTGATTAGCCCTGTGCTTACTGTGCATTAACATTTTCTTTATTTACCTCAAATAATATTGTTTTTATTGAAACAGATAGCATGAATCGTCAGAAGGATAGAGTAAAGAATTAAAGTATTGAAGATGGGAACTCTGTTATTAAAGAACATCACCTTTGTTTTAATTTAAACATTTCAACAATGAGCTGTTCCCCTTTAATCCTTTTTGTTAGTATTATTAATAAATGCAAGCACTTTTGTTTTTATACAGGGTACCAACTATGGTGTCTTTGAAAGAGACAAAGCTGTATACTGGACTTGACTATGGTATGTCATTCCTAATCTGAGTAATTTTTTCAACTATTTCACAAATGCTAAAATACGAGTTTTATAATTAGGATTTTCCTTGTCCCTTTTTGAAATAAAAAAAATACATTTTTTTATACAGCTAGGTTTGTTTTTTCTGAAGAAACCAGAACATTATATAGAGCATAGCCAGTAAAAGATAGGAATTGGGTCAGTAAATAAATATTTGAATGCTTTCTATCTGTAGAGATGATGGCCTTTCATATATCACAATGTCCATTTATGTTTGGGAGCCCTAGTAATGTAGTGCCTAAGGCACTTGACTACTAATCAGAAGTCTGGCGGTTCAAACCCACCAGCCACTCCTCAGAAGGAAGGTGGGGCGATCTAATTCCGTAGTGATACTGCCTTGGAAACCCAAGGAGGGGTCACTGTGAGTCAGGTCCAACTCGACGGCACATAACAACAACAACAACAACAACAACAACTTTTATGTTTGGAATTCCATTAGGACTGATGTTTTATAGTTCATGTGAATTGCACTGTTACAACCATTCTTTATTCTAACTATCTCTGTATGTAAGTATTATATTGAGTTATATTTTCTGTTAATATTTATGTAAAATATTTTGTGTTAATATAATATTCTGAAATCTAATATTAATAGACATTTGTCACATGTTCTTATTGGTGGGTTAACACTGAAGTTTAGTTCCACACATAAACTGCTATAGTGCCATATTTGTTTGATTTGTTGATTTGGGTCATCCATAACTAATTAGTGAATCCTGTGCATATATGATCTCTATTCCCCCCACCTCCCACCCTTTGCATATTTAGTTAACTCTTAACTCGTGGAGACCCCATACGTGTCAAAGTAGAACTGAACTTCATAAGATTTTCAGTGGCTAATTTTCCCCAAAGTAAATAGCCAGACCTTTCTTCTGCAGCACCTGTAGGTAGACTTTGTGCTAGCAGTTGAGCTTGTTAACTTGCCACTCAAGGACTCCTATCTACTGATTAGAGACTTTGAAGTACAGGTAGTCCCTGACTTAACGATAGGGTTCTATACTGATGACTGTGTTGTAAGCTGGTTCCGATGTAAATCGAATACTTCTTTCTGTGTTTTTATTATTGTTGCATTGCCTTTTATCATCAGTGGGAGCTCTGGTGGCATAGTGCCTAAGGCATTTGACTGCTAACCAGAAGGCTGGTGGTTCAAACCCACCAGCTACTCCTCAGAAGGAAGACTAGCCAATCTACTTCCTAGCGAAACCCTCTCAGAAACCCAAGGAGGGGTCGCTGTTAGTCAGGTCTGACTCGATGGCAGTGAGTTGTTTTTTTATCATCAGTATTTTTACAAATCATCTTTGTCTTTGATCGTCTGATGTGAACATCTGAGAATGATAAATCAGAAAATTTATCATCACTACAACACCCTCGGAAGGAAGTTGGGCAGTCCTACTTCCGTAGTGATAACTGCCTCGGAAACCCAAGGAGGGGTCGCTAGGAGTCGGGGCCGACTCTATGGCAAATAACAACAACAATAACAAACAACATTGTGGGTGGTATATATTACTAACATTAAGATGTACCAAAAAAAAAAAAAGGTGTAAGTGCAGTTTGTCACAACTTGAATACATCATAAATTGAGGACTGCCTATATTATCAGAGATGCTTTATTTCTCCCTATATCCCTTGCTTCTCCCACCTTCCTGCCCAATAGAGTTTATAAGCAGGTTGTTGAAAGTGTGAAGGTTTTAGAAGCTACTATGGTAAAAAGGAGGCCCATACCCTTGCTCCTACCTCCACCCCAATATGTTATCTCTTCTTGATAGAAATTTTAATAAACTGAGGGACATTCAAGTGTGTCTAAAATGCCTTCTCTTTCTTTCTTAAAAGATCCATCTAGAGAGAACCACCGAGAAGCAATTGCTAGGGTCATAAGGAAACTCCTTAGTAAGTACTTATGTAAAAATTTTTACTTATTTTTATAGTAAGTATTTAGGAATTTTATATGTATTTTACTTGTCAACGTTTTAGATTATAAATGATGAAAGTATTGGGCAGTTTTTTTTTAAATTAGTGCAAATCCTTATTCTTGTAATAATTCAAAATATTTTAATCAAAATCCTTTCTTTTCTCCTGTTGTAGATCACATACTTGCTAATTCAGAAGATGACACCAAGTCATTGTTTCTTATCATAAAGGTACATTTTGCATTTGATAGTTGCGTAATTATTAATATGACTGGGCTTGATTTGGTAACTTGTAAATACGTTTTGCAAAATTCTTTAATGGCAGATTATTGGAGACCTCTTGCAGTTCCAAGGATCTCATAAGCATGAGTTTGACTCCCGGTGGAAAAGCTTTAATCTAGTAAAGAAGTCCATGGAAAATAGGGTTAGTATTTTCACCTAAAAACTGAATTAATTTTTTAAAGAATATGTTTAATATTGACATGTTGTTGTTGTTGTTGTTGTTATGTGCCGTCGAGTCGGCCCCGACTCATAGCGACCCCTCCTTGGGTTTCCGAGGCAGTATCGTAGGATTGACCAACCTTCCTTCCGAGGAGTGGCTGGTGGGTTTGAACCGCCAGCCTTCTGGTTAGCAGTCAAGTGCTTTAGCCACTATGCTACCAGAGCTCCTTAATATTGACATAGCCGCCTGATTTGGGGGATTGCTCAGCATATAGAGAAATTTTTCTTATAAGTAAAAACGGTAGATTTTTATAGCTTTTTAAATATAAAGGCTAAATATAAAAACCTTTTGTAATCACAGAGATTCTATGCAAAGTTTGTGCAAACTTTAGCTTATGTCTTCTCATGCCAGTTTCCATAATAGTCTGAACTCTGAATGGGGATTTTTAGCATGATGAGTAGACAAGTGCATATGGGCAACGGCCTTCCAGCTGTAGGGAAGAGTGGCAGAAAGTGTAAACTAGGTTGTTGATAGTTTTGTTTGTCAGAAGAAATTGCGTCAGTTTTATGTTCATCAGTGGGGGAACCATTAAAGATTCTTAAGTAGATCTGATTTGAATACTGGAAAGACCAGTTGGACATTACCTGTGAAAAATAAGTACAAAGGGATTCAGACTGGAAGCAAAAAGGGTAATTAAACTATTAAATTATTCCAGGTGAAAAAGCACAGCTTGAATCATGTCATTAGGATGGAGATAAGGTGTTTTTAAAAGGTAGAATCGTTGGGTTTGATGACTGAAATAAATGTTAAAAGGGAACAATTTTTGAGTATTGTGTGAAAGAGGATGACTTAAAAGATAGTTTCTAGAAAAATAAAAAATAATTATATTCTTTAGTGAATATGTACAATCACCTTGAAAGGCTGTTCAGGCAGAAAATTTAACAGAGTCTTACAATTTTCTTAGCTGTTTTTGTACTTTTAGAATTTGACTTAAGGCTAATTCCTTTACTCTCCCACACATAGATCCATTAATAGAAACCATCGCGAGAAAGAGTGCATTGGGATAGGCCATTTAAAGGGGCATATTCTAGGAGCTCTGGTAGCATAGTGCCTAAGGCACTTGACTGCTAACCAAAAGGCAAATCCACCAGCCACTCCTCAGAAGGAAGGTTGGGAAATCCTACTTCTGTAGTGATACTGCCTCGGAAACCCAAGGAGGGCTCGCTGTGAGTCGGGGCCTACTCCACCACACATAACAACGACAACAACAACAACAGTTTCTACTATTAGCCATAAAATTATTTGACCATACCATACCATACTCATTGCCATTGAATCAGTTCCAACTCACAGTGACCCTCATTGAGTTTCCAAGGCTGTAAACCTTCACAGAAGCAGAACTGCCTTATCTTTCTTCCATAGAATAGCTGGTAGATTTGAACCACCAACCTTTTGGTTAGCCACCAAATCCCTTAATCGCTATACTATCAGAGCTCATTAAAATTAATTAAAGTAGTATATTTTAATATAAACCTGATTTAATATATGCCTATAGAATGAACGAAATATCATCACCACCCCTACCCTTACCCACCACGAGCCTTTTGGGGACTAATTTTTCACTAAAGGATTCAGGAGAATCCTTTGATGAGGTCATTTAGAGAAAATCTTGAGGTGTTCACTGCTTTGTCTTACAGCTCCATGGGAAAAAACAGCATATTAGAGCCCTATTGATTGACAGAGTAATGTTGCAACATGAGGTAAATATCTTTTTCAGTCATGATGACTTTTTAAAATGCTAGTTTTCCAGATGAATATTTAATTCTTTATGTTCTTTTTTCATAATTAAATGAATATTTAGTAACCGTTTTGAGATTTGGCTTATATTGTTTTGTTTACTTAGCTTCGAACACTAACTGTTGAAGGTTGTGAATACAAAAAAGTACACCAAGATATGATCAGAGATCTTCTTCGTTTATCTACAAGTTCATACAGTCAGGTAAGGCTTTTTCTGTATATGCCCAACCTCCTCAGTTTTATTACATGTAATCTAAATATCACAATTTTAATATAGCTAGAAAAGAGGAAAAAAAGAAAGAAAACTTATCTCACGTTGGCAGAGAAAACACCTTTGAAATTGCAAATTTGATAGATAGTTTTAATGTGATGATGTTGCCACTTCATTAAATCAGACTTAAAGACTAGACTATGAAGGCCAGCCATATAATATTTCCTAGGCATAATATGTGGGTTTCAGGAAGCTTGCTACCATGAATTGTGGGGTCATCTTGTAAGGTAAAGCATAGGACCAAGAGATTACCTCTAAGTACAGAGAACCAGGAAAAAGTAAGCAAGTCATGTACAAATGATTATTATTATCTTTATAAAATAATATGGATTAGATAATGAATCACTTATACAGAGATTACATCAAAAATAATGTTTAAAATAGTTTGAAATGTGATTTTACTATAATCCATTACTATTTAACTAGTTCATAGGTTATCAATGCATACTGAATCTTTTTTGGGGGGTTCAAAATAATGTGGGGCTAGACTTAAGGTTTGCATTGAAAGGTTAAATTTTCCTTATTTCTTTAGCTTCTATAAGTTCCTTATGGAAAGGCTTTGATTTTCCTATGTGGACAGAAAAGAAAAATCTGTTTCTTCTCATCAGAAGTAATAGTAACTCAGAACAAAAAGTTAGCTTTAATAGTGTAATGTTGACTTTTAGTTACATTACCAAACAAATAAAGGTCTGTTTCACCCAACCTCTGGTTTATCAAAAATATTTTAACTAATGTGACCTAAACCATGCATTTGATTGGGGTGATGTGCTTTACTTTTGATATATAAAGGTAGTTATTTATTTATTTTTTGTTAGGATATGTGCTTTGATACCTTTTCCTGTTATTTGGAAGACATTTAAATGACCGCTTTGCTTTATAGCTCATTTACAAATCTTTTGTAGTTTTTCTACCCTTCAATAAAAGTCTTTTGTTAATAATATTTTCTCCAGGTCAGAAATAAGGCTCAGCAAACATTTTTTGCTGCTCTTGGAGCATATAACTTCTGTTGCAGAGATATCATTCCCTTGGTTTTGGAGTTCCTACGGCCTGATAGACAAGATGTTACGCAACAGCAGTTCAAGGTATAGATGTTTTATTTTATTGTGAAAATTTTCAAGTATATAGAAGAGTTGAAGGAATTTCACAGTGAATATTGATATAGCCACCATTCACATTCTACATTTATCAGTTTACTGTGTTTGCTTTATCACATATGTGTCTTGCATCTTATTTTTAAAATATACTTTAATTTAATTGATGACATCAATATACTTCATCTTTAAACAGGCATAATCTTCTTTTCTCCCTAATTATTATTTACCTATGTTTGTGATCAGTTATTATGGAGAAGAATATAGGATGCTGCTCTGAGAGTAATGAGGGGCTACTAGGAGTTCTGACAGGCTTCTCTGAGTGCCATTGGCTGAGTAACCTGTCAGGCATAAGAGAGAGGGAAGTGAGAGACCATAAAGTTCAGAGTAGAGTGACGAGCATGAAGGAAGGGCCTGAGGCAGGAAGAAACATGGCAAGTTCAAGCAACTAAGTGAATACTTGTGCGGTTATAGCAGAAAGGGAAGAGATGACACAAGATTAGGCAAATACTATATTCCTCAGGGATGTAATAGGCTATAAGTGAGAAATGATGATTGCTTCTATCATAAATAGAGAGTAAATTGATAGTGATTTAAGAGGGAGAATTGATAGAACTTGGTAATATAATATAAGAGGATTGGTAAAAGGAGGTATCAAAATTCTGAAATTCCTAAATTCCTGGATTTGTATAAATGATTGTCAGGTATCTCACAGAGAATGGGAGAATGGATGATGTTTAGACACGCTTCATTTAAAATGGGCCTTAGAAAGTAAGAGGCAATGTCAAGTAGGCATTTAGATATCTGAATATAAAGCAATAAGATACAGTTTGAGTGCATAGTTGATGATTCAAATCTTTGGGCATGGTTCTTTGAAGTTAACTTCTGAGAAGTTGACAAATTGTAGTCCATATCCTACTGTCTGCTTTTGTAAGTGAAGTTTTACTGGAACACAGCCATTTCCATTTCTTTGTTTTTCTATGGCTGCTTTCATGCTGCAAGGGCAGATATGCATAATTGTGACAGTCAACTATTTATTACATGGCCTTTTACATGTATGCTGATCCCTGATATGTAATTATACAGTTTAAAAGTGCTGTAGAAGGTCTAAAACATTGACCTTGTTGAGAACAGTATAAATGGACAGAATCAGAGAAGTCAAATAAGATCAAAATTGAGAAATGTTTATGAATGCTAACAAAATCAAAATTACCATTGACCTTACAGAGAACTTGAACAGGAGAGTTGGATGCAGGGTGGATAAGAAACCAAATAGGAATTGAGTTAGAGTGAATGTTCTGAAAGTACAAAATATTTTGGTACTAATAACATTTTTAATGAACTTAAAAACACGTACCTGTTGTCATTAGAATAATTTTGATTCTTTGGACTTTCAATACACACAGTACAATTAAGTAACCTAGTTTTTACATACTTATGAAAATATTAAACAAGTGAATATTAACTACTATTTCATAAATTATTTCAAATGTGCTCTAAAATACAAAGTACAACATTTCATGGCCTTTTATGAAGTAATTCCAACAGAAGAGAATTGGAATGGAAGCTACATTCTTAGTAAGGGCATCCTCTGATTGGTATATATCTTATTCATTATAGTTCTTTGACCAATTACTACATCAAATGACTTTTCCTTAGAGAAACAATTAATGTATGCTCCTTAGTTAAATGTCAAGTTCATGTTTCTAAAAATAATATTTTAAATGTATGAATCTCTGTTGTTAACCAATATCAAGCATTTAGGCAATCAGTCTGCAGTAAATTTAAATTTGAAAATATGCAGGTGAATTGGGTACAACTAAATAATGCCTCTTAATTCCTATATTAATCTCTGTTTTCTGCAGGGTGCCTTGTATTGTCTCCTTGGAAATCACAGTGGTGTATCTTTAGCAAACCTTCATGATTGGGACTGTATTGTACAGACGTGGCCAGCAATTGTTTATTCAGGACTTAGCAAAGCAATGTCCCTGGAAAAGCCTTCAATAGTGAGATTATTTGATGATCTTGCAGAAAAGATTCATAGACAATATGAAACAATTGGGTTGGACTTTACAGTAAGCAGAATCTTTTTTTCGTTCAGATTTTAATGGAAATACTGCCTTGTTGAAATGTTTTTTGTCTTTTTTTCAGTAACATGATTCTTAACATTTGATTCTAACTTATGTTTAAAAACAAGCATTTGTTTAGCTTGTTTTCCATTTCCTTTTTGTCTTTTACTGTTCGTTACTGTAAAGAATAGGTTGAAATAACAAGTAATAGTATGCAGGGAGAGAGATTGTTTTGTCCCAAGAAGCCACAAAGGGTTTTTACACTGTTGCATTTACTATGTATTATTCCACAGTCTCATTTTTCATAGTTCATTGTAGTACTTGCATTTGCCTAAGTCACAAAGATTGAATACTTGGTTCTTACTTCATAGTGAATAAAATTAAAATTGGATGGTCCAAGAAATGAAAAAAGAATGTCAAGTTCAATTTTGCTCAAAATGGGAAATTTAAGAATTTTCTAATGTATATTCACATATCTCTCAGAATTTGGCAAAGGGTAAAAGAAGAGTAAGTGTGGTTGAAACCTCTGTTTTCCTTAAGTGGTTATGATCAACATCCCTCCTCTAATTTAAAAATCATTAGTCTAAATGTGTTCCTGTTATTTGTAAAACACAGTTGCATTATTTGCAGCAACTGCAATATATTAATATTGCAATATATTAAATATATTATACTTAATATATTTAAGTATATTTCACATACTGTAAAATTCAAGGTTTAGCATATATAGTATATATTCACAGTAGTAAACTCACTGCTGCTGATTAGATTCCAACTCATAGCAACCCCTCCTTGGGTTTCCAAGGCGGTATCTACTGAAGTAGATTGCCCACCCTTCCTTCTGAGGAGTTGCTGGTGGGTTTGAACTGCCAGTCTTCTGATTAGCAATCAAACACCTAAGGCACTATGCCACCAGAGCTCCCAGTATATATTCATAATAGTATATTTACAACATTATGCATCCATCACCACTATCTAATTCCAGAACATTTTTATCACCCCTGAAAGAAACCCCATTCCCATTATCACTTCTCACCTCTTCAACCAAGCCCCTAGAAGCCACTTACCTACTTTCTGTTTTTATGGATTTGCCTACTCTGATCATTTCATATAATGTGTGACTTTTTATGTCTGGTCTAGCATGTTTGCAAGGTTCATCTGTGTTGCAGTATGTTTCAGTGCTTCATTCCTTTTTAATGTTCTTTTTCTTTTCAATAAGATTCCCAAGTCATGTGTTACAGTAGCGGAATTACTTCAACAATCAAAAAACCCTTCTGTCAGTGACGTATTGCTTGCCCCAGAAGAAATTAAAGAAGGACTTAAACGCCAGCAAGAGAAGAATGCTGATGCCCTAAGGTAATTGATGAATGGTCACCTAAAATAGATGACAGTATGGATACCCATAAAACCAAACATGTTGCTGTTGTCTATAGGACAGAGTAGAATTGCCCCCTAGGGTTAACAAGGCTGTAATCTTTATGGAAGCAGACTGCCACAGCTTTCTCCCATGTTGCTGTTGGTGAGTTTGATCTGCCAAACAGCCGACGGCTTGACCACTGTGGCACCATGGCTCCTGACATTGACAGTAGATTTTAAGTATCTCTAATATATAGACACACCATAACTAACTAATGAATTTTACACATTGACTTTGTAAATACCAAAAAATTAGGATATAATTATTGTGAACATCTTCATTTTTACTCCTGGCTATGGAGATAGAAAACACCATCTTAAAAATAAAGTTGTTTTAATACCATATCTTTATTTTAATGTCATTCCTTTTTTACTTCTTTAGATATAATGCTTCAGAAATAAGTTAATTGGTATACATATCAATCATTAAATCATAAATGGAAGTTCAACACATGTTTCTCAGTGGCTCTTTAATTATTACTTTGATCACATTTATACTGTCAGGTCAGGATAGTAAGCTGTTCTTGGATTCTCTGGGCCAAGCAAGTCAGTAATACTACTCAAACAGGAGCTTGTTTAACTTGATTTTGTCTTTTGTTGTATAATTAGTATATGACTATACCTACTTATTTTTTCTAAAATGCTTGTATAAATAATAAAATATTATATTATAATCTACGTCATGTATTTTAGATACCCAGAGCATAATACTGATAAACGACTTCTAACTTATTATTCACTACTTACAGACTTAGTTTGAATGTTCACTGAGGAATAGTTGAGTTGTTTTCTCTCTGCCCTTCATGTTTTTTTTCCCAGCATCTCTGTTTACCCAACTACTTTCATTCTGGCTTACTTCTCACTAGGCCTTTTGTTGTCTACTGATGAGAAGTGGGGAGGGTGAATTTTACATGAATTTGAATTTAAATTACATTATTTGACTTACAACTAAGTATTGGATTAAAACAGTACCTCAACTGAGTTATTTTGTTTTGTTTTTTTAAAGAAACTATGAAAATTTGGTAAACACTTTACTAGATGGTGTGGAGCAAAGAAATCTGTAAGTCCAATTCTGTTTCCTTAGTTCTTAAATAAATTTGGCTTAAATATTATGGGATTTCCTACATTGAAGGACATGAATGGCATGTTTCACAAAAAATTCTAGTCTGATTCATGAATTTAGAAGACTAAAAGGGAAAGATGTGGAAGGGAATTTTGGGGTTAATGATAGGTACAGTGTTCTTTGATAAACCAATTTTAATACTTGAGAAACATACATTATGATTCAAGTACAGGGTATTTTAAAGAGTAATTTTATGGATGATATATTTTGTGATTCTCCCCCCCTCCCTTTTAAGGCCTTGGAAATTTGAACACATAGGCATTGGCCTGCTGTCTCTACTCTTGAGAGATGACCGAGTGTTGCCGCTTCGTGCTATAAAGTTTTTTGTTGAGAATCTCAACCATGATGCAATCGTAGTTCGAAAGGTACATACTTACTTTAGCTACAATCAGTTAGCTCAGTGGGTTTGAGAATTTTCACTTACCTGAAATGCATAAATTTATACATAAATAAATCATTATGTTCACAAGAAAAATTACTTAATACCTTGAGGTATATCTATATGAAACTTATCGCTATTCTGTCTAAATAATCCATTCAACAACTGTATGAGGGCATATTTAGGTACTGTGCATTTCAACTCTGGGGATTTATAGGAAGGGAGTTTATAGGTTAATGAGAAAGATTGAGTTTGAAAAAAAATTATAATGTGATATAATACAGGGGTAGGACAGCTGATGTACAACTTTTTGTTTTTACACTCCAAAGCATTACAGGTGAGATGCAAGGAGGGCTGACCTAGCCCTGGTGCATTGGAGAAAGATCCTTAGAGAAGAGATGTTTAGATAAAATTTGAAGAATATGGAAGTACTGGTTTAATACAGAAAAGGTCAATGTTTCCTAAACTGAGAGACTAGTGTGCAGGAAGATTCGACAGTGAGAGTTGTGAAGGACTCATTTCAAGTTAAATTTAGCACTTCTAGCTGTGACACCAGATATGCAGTGGGTGAGGTATTTCTGTTTTGAAAGAAGCAGAATCCAGCTTTTGCTTTGAACAAAGCGGTTGTTTGAGAAGTTATAAAACTTGGATACGTGAACCTTATCTGTTTTTTTTCTAGATGGCTATCTCAGCTGTTGCTGGTATTCTAAAGCAACTTAAAAGGACTCACAAAAAGCTGACCATCAACCCCTATGAAATCAGTAAGTATTACCAAAAGTTATTAATAATACTTCTCTGAAACTCAGAAATTTTTCTTTATTTAAGCTATATAAATTATAGTTCTTTTATTATTTTTTTTTTTGAGAATATGCACAGCAAGTAGTAATACACAATTTCAGCCATTTGTGTAAAGGTGAAATAAAATAAGATTGTTTAGTTCATTGCTGTCATTTAATATTATTATTTAATATGGTTCTGAAAAATCCAATATAAGAAGACTTGAAATAGGAAAAAAAGCAGTACAACTTTTGGAAAGGAAGGGGCAAATTTATCATTGTTTGTAATTAATATGATTTTATACATAGAAAATCCATGAGAATTTTTTTCCTATAAATTTTATTTCTTTTGGTGGTGGTCTTGAGAATAAACGCAGCAGAACATAGATCAAGATTCTACATGCACAATTTAGTGACATTGATTACATTCTTTTAGTGGTACAACTATTCTCTAAGGTTCCTATCAAATCTTTTGAATTGATACTGTCAATTTGATCCCATGTATATAGATTTTGAGAGAACACAATACTCAAGGTAGACATTAACTATTAATTAAGCTAAACTCTGGTAGTGTAGTGCCTAAGGCATTTGACTGCTAACCAGAAGGCTGGTGGTTCAAACCCACCAGCCACTCCTTGGACAAAAGGTTGGGTGATCTACTTCTGTAGTGATACTGCTTCAGAAACCCAAGGAGGGCTTGCTATGAGTTGGGTTCGACTCAACGGCACATAACAACAACAACGTTTAGTTTATAGAAGACTTCAGGGGATGCAAGTTATCTGCTTCCACAGTACAGTAGTTCTTATTCTCAAATGGATATTAATTAAAAAGTGTTAGATAATATATGAAGAAGAACCCACCAGTAAACAAACTCATTGCCATCAGGTTGATTCTGACTCATAGCAACCCTCACTGGGTTTCCAAGACTATAAATCTTTATATAAGCAGATTGTCTCATTTCTGCAGAGCAGCTAGTGGGTTCAAACTATGGACCTTTGGTTAACAGCCAAATGCCTTAACCACTACACTACCACAGCTCCTTATGAAGAGAAACAGTAAAATTTAATAACAATTAGTGATAAAAGGAGTTATAAAAATAAATAAATTCTGTTACCTTTATAATACATGTACCTTTTGCACACATTGGACATCTACTTTATATTATTCTTTTTACTAAGGAAATTGTGCTAATTGTTTCTCAAACAGTATTTCAGAGTATAAGTGATTCTCTCTAGGTGGTGGGGTTAAAGACACTGTTAATTTTCTTCTTTATATGTATTATCAGAACTTTTGTGTGTGAGTGTGTGTGTGATTTGGTTGAAAGTTTACAGAGCATATTCATTTTCCATACAGCAGTTCACATACTTTGTCTCATGACATTGACTGCAGTCTCCCACAATGTAACAGCTTTTTCACTTCCTCCCCATAATTATCTCTTCCCCATGTCCTTCCCTCCCGTGTACTCCTACCCCCGAGCTGTCTCCCAGTGCACAAACAGCCCTTCTGTTCTCCTCCCATGATTGATCTCTCCAAGGAGTGTATCTACGTAATGTAAATGTTCCGCTCATATGCCTGTCTTTTGTTTGGCTGGGAGCCACAGGAATGGGTTCAGTTCCAGACCTGAAGAGCAGCTAGGACCATAGTCTCAGGGGTTTCACCAGGCTCTGTCAGACTAGGAAACCTGGTCCCTTTTTTCTTATGATTTTGAGTTTTATTCCACATTGTTCTCCTATTCTACTCAGGATCTCCTGCCCAGATCCCCCTCCAAGTGGTTGCCAGTGATAGGCAGGCACTATCTATCTAGTTCTTCTGGTCTCATAGTCATATAGGCTGTGGAACACATGGTGTACCAGTCCCTTGGACTAACTGCTTCCATGCATCTTTGGTTTTCTTCACTCTGCTTTGGTCTGGACGAGGAGAGACCCATTGTTGCATCTAGATTGCCACTTGCAAGCTTTTAAGATCCCACTTGCTCCTCACCAAAGGGGAGCTCTGGTAGCGTAGTGCCTAAGGCACTTGACTGCTCACCAGAAGGCTGGTAGTTCAAATCTGCTAGCCATTCCTTGGAAGGAAGGTTGGGCAATCTACTTCTGTAATGATACTGCCTCGGAAACCCAAGGAGAGGTCGCTGTGAGTTAGGTCTGACTTGATAACACATAACAACAACAACAACAACTCACCAAAGTAGGATGTGGAACGGTATTTTTGTGTACTATGTTATGCCAATTGAGCTTGATGTCCCATATATATATTATCAGAACTTTTTGAGTAGTAAATCAAAAAACAAAAGCAGTAGTCTTATAAAAGTATTATAATCATGGAAAGTAATAAAATAATATGATTTTATAGGGAGAAAAAAATGAATATTGGTTTTTTTTTTTTTTTTGACTACCAAATTTTTTGTCTTTGATAACTCCCATGGTATTCAGTTGTGCTAATCTTTATTTTACCCTCACTTGAAATACATTTGCAGTCCAATATTATATTAATAATACTAATTTTTAATACTAAGCAAGGTACAAATAAAGCAGTCTCTATTTTCTATAACATAGTCTGTATTATGGATTATATTTAAATAGTTTTGAAACACAACAGGAAAATTATTTATTTCAAGAGTAGATACTTAATTTGTCCAAAATAAATAAATAGCATAGCATTGTAGTAAAAACCCCTTATTCTCTACTCCAACTGGTCTCCTATGTGTAACCACCATTACTAGTTACTTAAGTAATTATATTTCATGAACATTATGGGGCTGAAATGTTCATCAATATAAATTTTTTACATAGATAACATTTGCCCATGTGATGGGTAAAAAATGTTACCTTGATCAGTGTGGTTGTTAAACATTTCTTTTTTCCTGTGGGACTACTTGTCCTTAATTTTTTAATTTTGGTTTTTGGTCTTGTTATTATTTGGTTATAAAGAGTCTTCATTTGTTTATGGTATTTTCAGTCTTATTTGTCTTGACTTCTGTATGTCCATCAAAAAAAGAAACCATGTAGCAAAAAAATTACGAATGAGGGGACTTTTAGATTTCATATTTTTAATAGAAAAACGTCATCCTCTTTGGTATTTTAAGAAAATTCACCAATGATTTACTTTATATATTTATGGTTAATTTTTACCCGCAAAATTTTTATCTTACACTTAGTCCTAGATCTTGTTTTCTAAATAGCAGTGTCCACTGAAAGCAACCGGGGCTTTTTGGAGAAATAACTGATTTCAAAGCTGTTGCTGGGAAAAGCAAGAACATCTTGAGTCAGATAGTAGGGAAGTAGTCTAAAAATGATGAGAACATGTGAAAGGTTACAAGAGACAGCTCAAAAGGGCATTCTGCTATCCAAATCTGGCACAGTTTGAATATCAAAATGAATACTGATAGTAATAGATTATAACCATTAGAATAAAAGAAGAATTAACAAGTTATTCCATATTGATATAAATAAGTAATCATGGAGGGAAAAAGAAAAATACTTTGTTTTTTAGAGTAGAGTGGCAACTAATAAATGAAATGAAGGAATTAGAAAATTACCATTTGGTAATCACCATAATAATTGCTTCAGAAAAAATTCTGTGATGCTAGAACAAGAGATGAGAAATTGGATGTTTATATAGTTTCAAAAATATCTTTTCATAGGCTATTTAATAGATAGGAGCTCTGGTAGCATAGTGCCGAAGGCACTTGACTGCTAACTAGAAGGCTGACGGTTCAAACCCACCAGCCACTCCTCCGAAGGAAGATGGGGCAATCTACTTCCGTAGTGATACCACTTTGGAAACCCAAGGAGGGGTGACTGTGAGTCAGATCTGATTCAACGGCAGAGCGTTTGGTTTTGTTTGGTATAGTCTTCTATGATGTCAAGGTAAAGGTTATGAAAGACAAAGTCTGAGGAACTGTTCCAGATTAAAGGAGAGTAAACAGACATGCCAACTAAATGCAAAGTTTGGTCTGGATTAGTGTAGACCTGGAAAGAATGGCTTTAATATTGTTTTATTTTGTGATAAGGGGCATTAGTGAGACACTTCACAAATTTGAGTAAAACCTATTGATAAGATAGATAATAGTACAGAACTAATATTTTGTTGTTTGTTTTTGAGCATTAGGGTTCTGTAAGCATATTCTTATTTACAGGAAATAGCACAGGGAGATTCTTGGGATAAGAATTATGTTTACTCAAATGATTATTAAAAAAACAATATGTGGGTGTGTGGGCATGGGTGTAGAGTATGAGAATGTTATCGGGATAAAGGTTGTACGTGGGAGCACTTTGTGTGCTTTTTGCAACTTTTCTGCGAGTCTGAAACTATTTAGAAACTTTTGGAATTAATTTTGGTAAAAATTATGAAGTAAATATCAAACTTTTCTCTCCCAAATATGTGTTCAGCACCATTAGTGGATAATCTATATTTCCCTTCTGGTTTGAAATACTCCCTTAATTTCTGTGTATATCTGGGTTTTGTCTTTAGGTAATTTTACTAGAGGCTTGTTATGAAGACAAAAGTTACACTGGTATTATTGGTTGAAATTTGAGTATAATGGTTGCATGAATACTTTTAAATTCATCAATGTGATTTTTCGTACCTTAGGTGGATATCCTAAACCTACACAAATTCTTGCTGGTGATAGGCCTGATAATCTTTGGTTGCATTATGACAGCAAAAGTATACCCAGAACTAAAAATGAATGGGAATCAAGTTGCTTTGTGGAAAAAACTCACTGGGGATACTACACCTGGCCACGGTAAGTTGTAACTTACTGTGCACTTCATTATATAAACAACATATCTAAAATTTGTTTTGTCATCTTTGAATTTCTAGGGAGATTCAGAGACATGAGGCAGTTAGAGGTAATCTGCCACTGAAAATACACATATTCTTTTCTCTGTTCTCTCTTCCTCACTTTTTGTTTTCTTCTGGCCAGTGCTATTCCTTGTTCTTGCCTGTTTCCTCTGGACCCTTAGGACTTCCTCAGTCCTGCCATTCTAGGGCTAAAGAGGTTGTTAACAGCAGCCCTGAATTATCCTCATATCTCTGAATAATGTATGTGCATAAATCAGCCTAGAGAAATACTGTTTATCTCTCATTGTTGACTGTAGTAGTCTGTCATTAGGACACAGTGATCTGACATACTGACTGAAACTGTTACTGAGATATTTATACTCCCAAACTTAGCAACAGTTCATTAAAAGTGCTTTCGAACGCTTTCTGTAAGGCTCTATGCTCTATTTTTTTCCTACGCTTATTACAAATAAACTCTTACTGTGTAGGAATATGGTTGTTTATGCTGGTGTGGAAGAGCAACCTAAGCTTGGCAGAAGCAGAGAGGATATGACAGAGGTAAGAATTCCATTTTCACCATTTGTAAACACTTGTTTACCCTGGTTCAAATGCATCTTTGTTTTTTTATTGCAAATCAGTAATGGGTACTCACTAAATATATGTTTGTAGATGTAAGTTGAAACTCCTCAGTCTTCATTGATCTTATTTCTTCTTCATTTTGAAGGCTGATGAGGGCTTTTAAGTTCATATATTCCTCAAGTTAATGGTGCCTTTATTTTCTGATTCTGAACAAATTTTGCCCTTTAAATTCCAATGTTTTATAAATACAGGCATAGGTTGTTGGAGTTTGATTACAATTTGGGAAATTTTCCTATGTTGCACATCAAGTGGCACCATAGCATTAATTCTTCATTTTCCAGACAAAACGTTTGTTGGTTTTAGTTCATAATTTGCAAAATGGGATCCATACTTAAAGATCAGAAGGAAAACTTTTAGTTACTGGTTTTATTTAAAATTTAGCACTTTTAGTGGGAGATAATGTTTTGATTCTAGAAAGCATTATAATGCCTCTTTGGGAACTGAAAATTAATAGAACAAAAATTCAACCATCGATTGGGGTGTGAGATACAACAGTTGTTTTGGAACAAAGAAGAATGAAGAAAATCAAAAAGGCATGGGAAACAGTTAATCCAAGGGAGTAGTAGAGCCTTCATGACCTGAGACCAGAAGAACTAGATGATACCTGGCTACCAGTGTGAGCCACTTGGGAAGGAATCAGTGTAGGAGATTTTGGATAGAGTGAGAGAAAAGTGTAGAACCAATCTCAAAATCATTTAAAAAAAAAAACAGGCTTACTCGTCTGATAGAGATTGGTGAACCCCCCCCCGAGACTATGGCCCTAGTCACCCTTCAGGCCTGGAATTAAACTCACTCCTGTAGCTTCCAGCCAGACAAACAGGCATATATGGTGAACATTTATACCAGGTAAGTACACTCCTTAGAACAATCAATCATGGGAGATCAGAAGGGAAGCATTTGCACCGGGAGATAGGATAGCTCAGAGGGAATGCATAGGAAAGAGGGACATGGGAAGGGTAACCACAGGGAGGAAGTGGGAAGAGAACTGTTACATTATTGGGGGAGAGGGAGAATACAGCCTACAAATGAGTATCAGAAAGATAGAAATAAATTTTAACTGTTTCAGAATCATGTTAAACAAATTATAAACCCTGAATATTTTTTCCCCTCTAACTTTATAGGCAGAACAGATTGTATTTGATCATTTTTCTGATCCTAAATTCGTTGAACAGTTAATTAATTTTCTATCTTTAGAAGACAGAAAAGGAAAAGATAAATTTAATCCCCGACGTTTTTGCCTCTTTAAGGTAACTATGGTATTTATATATATTATATATATTCTTCATAAAGCTTAATGACTGTTCAATTTTCAGGTTCCTTAGTTTGAAAGTGTATGATCATTTGATTTTAGCCATCTGTTACCTTCCGCTACAGTGCCTTTGTAATTAATGTCAGTCATAATTGATCTTAGCTTAAAGGTAGAGGTCTCAGAACAAAACAAAAAACTGTTTAGTATTTATCTTAATGTTTCTAATTAGCACTAAAAGGAAAAAAAAAACAATTGGCATTCATTTCCTTTTCTAAACTACAGTCTTTTTAAGGTCAGAAAAATCAATTTTTCATTGTTTACATTATAATGCAAATGTAAATTATAATGCAAATGTAAATTAAAACTGTTCATACTGTTTTAGCTTAAAGACATTGATAAATTAAGTTATAAAAGGAAGAAGATTTGGGATGTTAACTACAGTAGTAATAAAGAAAATTGTAACATTATAATTGAGGTGATAGTCATTTGAATACTGGAGAATTATCTTTTGTTTGTTTCTGTAGGGTATATTCCGGAATTTTGATGATGCCTTTCTGCCAGTTCTGAAGCCCCATTTAGAACGTCTGGTTGCAGATTCACATGAAAGCACACAGCGATGTGTTGCAGAAATTATCGCTGGTTTAATCAGAGGTTCTAAGCATTGGACATTTGAAAAGGTGATGTATTTATTAGCTCTTTTCCTGATAAAACTACATGATCCATTTGTGTAGCACTTCCTAACACATTAGGTATTCATACCTAAAAATATGAAATGTTCATTTCCATAAAATTGGTCAAATACTTATATTTGACTGCTCTTGAGTAGAAGTCATAAACTAGTGACCTGTGGGCAAATCTGTATCTTCTGTTATTTTTTTTACCAACTAAAACCAAACTCACTGCTGTCAAGTCGATCCCAACTCGTAACGACCCCTCCTTGGGTTTTTGGGGCAGTGTCTCTATGGAAGTAGATTGCCCAGTCTTCCTTCTGAGGAGTGGCTGGTGGATTTGAACTGCCAGCCGTCTGGTTAGCAGTCAAATGCCTTAGGTACTATGCCACCAGAGCTCCTTTTATATGTAATATATATATGTTATATATATATGATCATTTTTAAGTATATAATTCAGTGATACTGATTACATTCACTGTGTTGTACAACTATTATCACTGCTTCCAAAAGTTTTTCATTATCCCAAACAGAATGCAGTACCCCCTGACTACCATTCCTCTTCCTTCCAGCCCTGGTAACCATTAATAAATTTTAAACTCTATGTATTTGCATATTTTTGGTATTTCATGTGAGATCATACAAATATTTTTCCTTTTGTGTCTCACTTATTTCAGTCAGCATGTTTTCAAGGTTCATCCACATCATAGCATAGATCAGAACTTTATTTCTCTTTATGGCTCACTAACTTTCCATTGTACATATATACCACATTTTGATTGTACATTCATCTATTGATGATTACATTTCCATCTTATAGCTATTATGATAATGCTGCAAAGAACACTGGTATATAAATACATGTTTGGATCTTTTGCTTTCAAGTTCTTTGGGGTGTATACCTAAGAGTAGAATTGCTGGATCATATGGTAATTCCATGTTGAACTTTTTAAGGAACCACCAGATTCTTTTCCATAGTGGTTGCACCATTTCACATTCCCACCAGCAGTGCACAAGAGCTCCGATTTCTTCACATCCTTACCAACACTTGGTATTTTGTGTTTTTCTATTAATAGTTATCTTAGTGGGAAAGAAGTACTATCTTTCTTTGGTTTTTATTTGCATTTCCTAATGACTAGTGACATTGAATATCTTTTCATACTCTGCTGGCCATTTATATATCTTTTCTGGAGAGATATCTATCCATATCCTTCACCCATTTTTTATTTGGGTTGTTTGTCTTTTTGTTACTGAGTTATAGGAGTTCTTTATGTATTTCTAGATTTTAAGTCCTTACTGGATATATAATTTCCAAATATTTTCTCCCATTCTGTAGGTTGTGTTTTTAGTGTTCTTGATAATACCCTTGTGTTTTGGTTACCTCTAGTGCTGCTCTGACAGGAGTGTAACACAAATGGGATGGCTTTAACAAATGGGAGTTTATTCTCTTACAGTTTGAATGCTTTAAGTCTGAGTTCAGAGTGCCAGGCTCTAGGGGCTGGGTGAAAGCCCCTTGACCTTGGGCTTCTGCTCTGCCTCTGGCTCCCAGCTCACTGAAGCTGGAGGCTTTCTTGACTCAGGGAGCTGCTGGCTGCTGAGGCTGACAAAGCCAAGGTTGACAAGTAAAAAAGGCACTGTCCTCATGTTACCAAACCACATGGCAGGCCATTGGTTCAAGTTCATTGAAAGTCCCAAGATCTTCAGAATATGGCAGGCTACTGAATGAAGACTTGGCTACATGTAGGGTTCAAGCATGCCAAAAAGCTGGAGACCGATCCCATAGCTTCTCCTTAAATAGGGGAAGCAGATCACATCCCTAAAGCAGCTACTCAGCTGCTCATGGCAGATTCCAGCATGGAGTTGAGTTGCAGTCTCATCGTGGGGAATAAAGTCCAATTTACCTATTTTTGTGGCTCTTGTTGCTTGTGCTTTCAATGTCATATCTAATAATCCATTACCCAAAACAGGGTCTTAAAGCTTTACTCCTGCTTTGTTGTAAGAGTTTTATGGTTTTAGTTTTTTTAAATTTTGACTATTGATTTTAAATTAATTTTTATACCAGTACATACTGTTTTGATCCTGTATCTTCCTGGTATGTTTTGAGATTGGGTAGTATGAATTTTCCTATATTACTCTTCTTTTTTTTCACAAATGCTTTTGCTGTTTGAGGCCCTTGCAATTCCATATGGATTTGAGAATTGGCTTTTCCATTCCTGCAAAAAAAAGGCTATTCTGATTTTGATGGGGAGCTCAGGTGGTGTTCTGGTTACCTACTGCTGCTCTGACAAGAAATATATACCACAAAAATGGATGGCCTTAATAAACAGGAGTTTATTCTTAAAATTTGGAGGCTTTAAATCCAAGTTCAAAGTGCCAGGCTCTAGGAGCTGGGTGAAAGCCCCTCAACCTTGGGGTCCAGCTCTGCCTTCTGCTCCCAGCCCATTGGAGCTAGAGGCTTTTCTTCGTTTAGACAGCTGCTTGCTGCTGAGGGTGAGGAGCCCCAAGGTTGACAAGTCAAAAAAGCACAGTCCCGATGTTACCAATACACACAGCAGGCCATTAACTTAAGTCCACTGTGAGTCACAAGGTCAGCAGAGCATAGCAGGCTGCTGAGCAACAACACAGCTACATGCAGGGTCCAAGTGTGCCAAAGGCTAGAGACCATTCTCAAAGCTACTGCTTATATACAGGAAGCAGACCACATACCCAAAGGCAGCTAGCTACTCAGCTGCTCCCAGTAGATTCCACCATGGAGTTGATTACCGGTCTCATCATGGGGAATACTACATCCAGCTGCCCAGCCACTCAACCAGGCCTAGCCAAGTTGACATACAAACATAACCATCACAGGTGGCGTAGTGTCTAAGGCATTTGACTGCTAACCAGAAGTCTGGCGATTCAAACCCATTAGCCACTACTCAGAAGGAAGGTTGGGCAATTTACTTCTGTAGTGATACCATCTCAGAAACCCAAGGAAAGGTCGCTGTGAGTCAGATCCAACTCGATGGCAGTGAGTTTTGTTGAGTAATTTTGATGGGACTTGCACTGAATCTGTAAATCACTTTGGATAGTTTTAACATCTTTAACAATATTATAATCTTCCAAACTATGAATGTAGGATATCTTTCCATTTATCTAAGTCTTTTAAAATTCCTCTTAGCAGTGTTTTATGGTTTTCAGTGTACAGATCTTTCCCCTCCATGGTTACGTTTATTCTTCAATATTTTATTCTTTGAGATATAATTTGTTTTATAATTACCTAGTGCCACTCTAACAGAAATACCACAAATGAGATGGCTTGAACAAACACCAGTTTATTCTCTTACAGTTTTGGAGGCTAGAAGTCCAAGTTCAAAGTGCCAGGCTCTAGGGGCTGGGTGAAAGCCTCTCAACCTTGGGCTTCAGCTCTGGCTCTTGTCCTGGCCCACTGACGCTAGAGGTGTCTCTTCACTCAGGCAGCTGCTGCACGCACTGAGGCTAACAAGCCCAAGGTCAACAAACAAAATGGCACTGTCCTAATATTACCAAGCAACACAGCAAGGCGTTGATTTAGGTCCCATTAACGGCAGGGCGTGGCAGGCTGTTAAACAATGACTTGGCTACCTGCAGCGTTGGAGAGTGCCAAAAAGCTGTAGACCATTCTCAAAGCTTCTGCTTATATAGGGAAAGCAGACCACATCCCTAAAGCAGCTACTCAGCTGCTTGTGGTAGATCCCATCATGGAGCTGATTACCAGTCTCATCATGGGGAATAACTACCACCAGCTACCCAGCCACTCAACCAGGCCCAGCCAAGTTGAGACACAACCTGAATTACCACATAAATGTAAATTGAGTTCTTAATTTTCTTTTCAGATTGTTCATTACTGATATTTAGACGCAACTGGTTTTTGTGTGTTGTTCTTATACCCTGCAACTTAGCTTTTATTGGCTTCTGGAACTGTCTTGTGGATACTTTGAAATTTTCTGTATGTAGGATCTGCAGATAGAGATAATTTTACCTCTTCTTTCTCAATTTTGATGACTTTCATTTGTTTTTCTTACCTAATGGCTCTGGTTTGAATTTCTAATACAACGTAGAATAGCAGTGAAAGTGGAAATCCTTGTCTAGTTCCTGACCTTAGTGAGAAAGCTTTCAGTCTTTCATCATTGATTTTTATGTTAGCTATGGGCTTTTCATAGGAGCTCTGGTAGCATAGTGGCTAAAGCACTTGACTGCTAACCAGAAGGCTGGCGGTTCAAACCCACCAGCCACTCCTCGGAAGGAAGGTTGGGCAATCCTACTTCCGTAGTGATACTGCCTCGGAAACCCAAGGAGGGGTCGCTATGAGTCGGGGCCGACTCGACGGCACATAACAACAACAACAACATGGGCTTTTCATAAATGTTGTTTATCTTGTTGAGGAATTTCCATTCTAGTCTTAATTTGCTGTATGTTTTTATCATGAAACGTTTTAGATATTGTCAGAGGCCTTTTGTGTATCATTTGAGATGAACGCGCAGTTTTTTTCCTTCACTTTACTACTGTGCATTGATTGATTTCCTTATATTGAACTACCCTTGCATTCCTGGGATAAATCCTACTTGGCTGTGGTTTATATAATACTTATGCTGTTGGATTTGGTTTGCTTGTATTTAGGTTATCTACTTTCATGAGGAATATTGGTCTGTAGTTTTTTTTCCTTTTGGTATATTTATCTAGCTTTGTTGTTATTGTTATGTGTCGTTGAGTTGGTTCCAACTCATAGTGATCCTATGTAAAACAGAATGAAACACTGTCTAGTCATGTGCCATTCTCACAATCCTTGTTACATTTGAGCCCATTTTTGTACTCACTGTGTTAATCCATCTTGTTGAGGATCTTCCCCTTTTTCACTGACCCTCCACCCCTACTAGCTTTAGTATAGGTATAATGCTAGCCTCAAAGAATGAGTTAGGAAGGGTTCTCTTCTGATAATTTGGAAAAGTTTGACAAGAATTGATGTTAATTCTTTAAATGATTGGTAAAAT